GATTATAACTGGTTCCTCATTTTGACAGATCAGTAGGATATAATTTTACAAGAACATGCAATTTAAACAGATGCATACATACTATAATTTGGTGTTTAGGCTACAGTTTTAATTGTATTGGGGCATGCTATAAATTTGGGGTCCACTTTTCTCTCCCGTCCCTTAGATCTGACAAACATGTACGTTTGATTTTGTAATTGTGATCCACTGCCTAAGCCTGAATGCCGTCCTCCGATTACGAATACCAAACTTCTACAAACCATGTTCTACATACTTGTGAATTTGATCCTAAATAAGTCTTTTGTTTTCCAATGGAATTAAACCAAAATTTCAGATCATGTATAAACAAGGCTTGACAAATGTTTGGGAGCGAGTTTCATCGGCTATGTGCAAAAGGGTGAGATTTAAACGCCATACGAAGAAAATACTCACTTTCAGAATCTGCCACTTACGACTTGGCTTCCTCCAATGTCGATACAGCGCTGGAGACAGTGGGGGAAGGCGCGTGCTGCAGCCGGAAGATTCTGAAGGAATACAGGATCACCCCTGATGTCATTGCACACCTCCTTGATCGTTTTGCGCAACACACGATCCAGGAGGTGTGGAATGACATCAGGGGTGGTCCTGCATTCCTTCAGAAGCTTCCGGCCGCAGCACACACCTTCCGCCACCATCTCCAGCACTGTATCAACATTCTGAAATTAAGTATTTTTTTTTCATATGGCTTTTAAATCTCACCCTCTTGCACAAAGCTGATGAAAGTCCCTCCATTAAATGTGTCATGCCTTCTTTACATGATCTGAAATTTTGGTTTAATTCCATTGGTCTGTTGGTAAACAACAGAGATATTTAGGATCAAAAGTAGGACTTTTTTTTTTGATGTTGACACGTACCAGGTAGTACCTACACTGTACATGTACGGTACGGTACATGTGCCCAACAAATAAGAAATCGTCTGAAGTCATCCTTAATGATACTTGAATGGCAAATTACAAAGTACCAAGGGAACAGTACAGGAGAAATATCACCATCACACTTTGGCCCCTCAATTTATAGAACGACCCTATTGTGTATATTGTATAATGTACCGGTACATCTCATATTTTCTGCCCACCCCTCTCCAACGTTCAGTATTACAAATGTACATGTACATTACAAATTCAATCATGAAAACCTTTCCAAAGTGGAGCGTAGATTATTTTTCATTAACCTGAGACACTGACTTTAATTTCTCTTCGGTACCCCATCATTCACAATGGTGTCCCCATAGGCGCTGCGTCGCCATCCAAAAAGCAAGAGTGCAGACAGTTTAGCCAAATTCATCATTTCATTTTTGCCGCAATCAATTTGAAGTTATTGCGACGCGTGTCGCATCCTGCTCGTTTATCAGGCCTGCCCCGACGGCCCCGGGGGGCATCGGGCTGAGGCTAGACGTAGACGGCAAGATTTATTGCGCTGTTTGTGTACACGAACCAGGGCCTGGACAGATAAAAATAGGAACCGTTTGTTGGTTTTTGCTTTCCTGCTCGGGAATTCTAGACCTTCATTTTTTTTTAATGTCTTTTCAGTTTCAATGTCTTCTACTTTCCTGCCATCAAGAATGTTCATGAGTTATTTTTTGTCGGTTCTGCTCAGTTTGTCTTCAGCTCTCTTCTGGATTTGTGCTCCGAAATTCTAGAGAGCACCATTTCATGGAATTCCTTTTTTGTGTCTTGACATCTACAATGTACATGTACTTGTATTTTTGAAGTTGCCTAACTTGGAGTTTACTTGGTCAACGAAATTTGCTTTGTGGTCATGAAGTTCGCTCCTCCATATTTCCAAGATGGTTGACTTGTGTAAGACTCGCAGCTTGTGGATACCTTCCCATTTCTTGCACCGCTAGCAAGATTTGGACGCTCCTAGTACTATACATGTAAAACTTCTTCATCCCTCTGGATATGTACCACAGTTTTGTTATTTTCTTAGTCAGTTTGCAGCTGGACTCATAGTATCCGATGATAACAGTCCATCGCTATTCCTCTGGAAGTCATTACAATCCCACCAGCTGATCTTCCTGACTAGTAAGCTTTCTCAGGACCATGCACATCGAAAACATCATTGCGCCGTTCTCATTTTAAAGCCTACTTTCGTCTGTGCCTGCCAGATTTTTCACGTCAAAACTCCAGGAGATTCATGAGCACTAATATTGCGACAGTTTCGGATAAATTCTCCTACTGGATCTGATTTTACGCACAGCTTGTCCAACCAGTTTTGCCACCAACTACATGTACAAGTGTACAGTCATCTATAATGTACTTCTTCAGTTGACTATGGGCTCTGTGTGCCAACAAGAGAGGGCGCTTTTTTACCACTTACATGACTTACGAGAGCCTCTTAGACAGGACACAGCGCGTGCGCTTACTGGTTTGCATACATGTATAGCACGAAGTATGCAATGACTTATTTTATACTCTCAATGTGCACAAACCCATAGTATCAGGCGTTGTCGTCAATGCGTTTAAATGTCTCTCCCAGTGGTCTCCCCCAGCTTTCCCTTTCTTACCGTTGAGGGGGTACTTTGTGCATACCATACTTTTCCATTGAAGTTGCTTCTTCAGTTGACATCTGTCGGAATCCTGGCTGTCTAGCCTCGGCCTCCCCGTGCTGTATTACATGTAGCTTTGCTACATGTAGTCCTCAAGAACACAGTCTACCATACTTCATCCTCCAACTCTTGTCTCTGCTCATTGGACCACTGCAGCCATGTCATCGTTTCTCCATCCCTTCCTTCCCACGTTCTCTCACCTCCTCCTATTCTTGATTTCCCTGTCTCTATTCATCTCACTTTCACTGCTTCATCCTGCCTTTGATCCGTCCCGTTCTCCCTTTCTTCCTCCGTTACTCCCTCCTACTATCCCACCATCACACTAACTTATTACATGAACACTCTTCAAAACGTTTTCTTTCAACCTCCGCCATTGCAATAAACCATCATCTTTGAATTTCTCACCATCCACCAACTTGCTCTTCAGGTTCTCATCCTCGCCTCTTCAGTTTAATGTTCTTTGCTTTCATTTCACTCTCCATCCTGTAACTCTTAAAATAAAGTAATTGTATACTTTCCGATTTCCTCTTAATCCCATCCAGTCTCTAAATCTTTTCTTCCATGACCTTTAACCCTTTCTTCCATGACCTTTAACCCTGCGAATGCACCATGACCTCATACATGTAACTCCCTCCCCTGTTATCCCAACTTTTGGAGAAATATGCGGACACACCATCTGAAGTTATTACTTCTATATACCGGTATAGAGACGTGGTTTTGAGAAAACCCAGAACTGTTTAACTCTAAGTTTCAGTCAAGATGCTGTGACTGTCTCCAGGAGATCTCATTTAGTTTCATATTTTTTGGTCCGTCCTCGATCTACTTGCGTAACTTGATTTTTCAAACTGCAACGAAGATCATTTTCAAGGAACTTTCATGAAATCACCGTCTTCAAGCTTGGAGCGGTCGGTGCACCAGGCAAGGAAATGCCTTGTAAGAAATCTTACTTCCAGTAAATAAGAAACCGCACGTCAAAATTACATTTTACTAATTCATGAAGCCCCGCCCCTTTGACACATTGACCAATCACAGCCTTGATAAATGTCCGACATGTGTGTACTAGGAAACGGCACGTCAAAATTACATTTTACCGATTCATTAAGCCCCACCCCTTTGACGCCTTGACCAATCACAGCCTTGATAAATGTCCAACATATGTGTAGAAAAGTTTGACATGGTTATGATGTACATGCAGCCGGTGCATGCATTGTGGCATACCGGTGGGAGAGGTGCACATGTGTTGTTTCCCCATGTGTGCAGAGGGTGGGACTTACATGTAATACATAATTCTATTGCTAAGAAATTCGGGGTGTGCGTTTACGGGTAGTTCGGGAACCGGGTACCCAATTGACAAAAAGAAAGGGTACCCGGGCACCCGTGAAAGAAACCCAACCTGAAATTCCAATCTCGGAAGTTGCTGTTTAGATTGTTCATAAAGGTCCGCACGATAATACTACCACATCGGTACGCCAATACAGCAAGATACAAAGTGAGCTTTACAGCTCTACGGTGTAAATTGCAACCTTCAAAAGCGTCATAAATGTGACCGGCCCCACAAAAATGGGTATTAAGTCGCGCTGTGCATTATTGTGTAATGGCCCGCTCAACATTGAGAGGGTGAAAATTTGGCAAAATGTGATTTTCTTTTTTTGTCATGAATGACATCTTTAACACCTACAGTTTCAGGTTTCATTCACAGAAATGTTGATTTTGATGAACAAAGTGGAAAAAACAACATTTTGTGTGCATTGTTCTGTTGTTCTACAACAGAGCCAGCTATTACAAAGCCTGTTTTCTCAGTTGTGTAATTTGAACTCCAAGGAAGTAATAAATATGAAAATACATGATATCTCCAGAACAGGAGGGCTATGGAGCTTTATTACATGTATATACCAAATGAAAGCTTACATTGTGGGCTTTCCAACCATGTACATGTACATGTATATAACTCAATTTCCCTGTTTTGCGACATAATACCCTTTTTTGTGGAGCCGGTCACAAATGCGAATGATTTGTTTTCCCATGTAGCCTGATTTTCATTTTTAAAATCCTCCACAAATGACATTCCAAACCTTTCTATTTTATTGTCTGAGAAGTTACCGATACTTAGTAACTTGTAAAGTTGATTGCGGGTATCCGATTCCATAATCTGGAACCTGTTCCTGACATTAACGGTCGGGTACAGCCTTATAAGAAATTGTCATACACAAACTCACACATTGTGCAAGCTTGAACTTTTCTAATAATTTTACACCCAAAATGTATATTTTCTTTCAATTTTCTCTGCGTTTTTTTTTTTACATTGTTCTGATGTCTTTAACTTCCAAATTACAATGTAGTCAAGTAATTTTCAGCTTAAAAAAAAGTAAATGCATTTATTTGTATTTTGTTTTTGCTTTTTTTTTTTTGGTAGTCTGAAGGGAAACTCAATACAACCGGAGATGGCTACGGTTCTTCGGGCACCACGCCCAGCAAACTGTCCAAACGCGAGTCACTCAAGGTAAGATTCCTAGCAGGACTGAAACAATAAGGGGGGGAGGGGAGATTAGTCAGGATTTTTTGTCGGGAAGTTTTCTGATTTCAGGATTTTTTAAGAATCCGTTTTGAAATCTGGAATCTCATGGATTTTCCCGTCAAGGGGTTTTGACCTAACATGTACCGTAGATGTAAGCATGTACATGTACTGGTACATTGTACATGCGCGCGCGTGTGGTTGATATAATTTGTTGGGTCAGTGTGCGAGATCGCGTAGCTACAATCGGCTCAGTGAGAACGTGTCTCGGTCGCTGAATTCAGGCCCAATTCAAAACATGACTGGGCAACGTTTGATTTGAAATCGAGATCCTAGAATATTGTTTTCTCGGAATATACAGCATTCACTGAGCTGAAACTTCGTCAGGTTAGTTGTTCAGCACCCTTTAGATTTTGAGCACTTTTGTTGCTTCAAACATAATGCACAAATTACTGTTCAAATGATGGACGCTACCAGTACCTTTAAGGGTACAAAAGGGCATGGACGTAGCCACTTGTGCCTGCTTCATCTATTCATCATAGTCACTAATCATTAACTAACAAATGTAACCAGACCCAACAAGGAGGCAAATAATATATAATCAATAATTGACAAGTAGGTTTAATGAATGTCGCGATGCTAGGAGACAGTATCTGGCAACAGTAAACAAAATTTGATGCAGCCACACACAAAAAAGAAACAACAAAGTCCACATCAGATCAGGCCAAGGTTTTGTGGCGTGGATTTGTTTGTTTGTTTTTCCGGAAAGAGAGTTGCGGGAAAAAAGGGAAGTTTGTTGCTGTTTCTGAAGGAGAACTCCTGGAAAAAATATGGAAAAACTTGTACACGTAGGTACAAACTTTATATGTATCACAATGTGTATGTATATGGGAAAGACCACAAGTACATGTACATGTACATGTATGGGCGGGCCGTCACCGCGTGATGGGGAAGTTTTGTACATGTTCATGTGTACATAAAAAAATTGTGTACAAATGTACCGGTACATGTGGGCAATTCCACGGTTACTCACGTTACATTTTCGTAACGTGAGTAACCGATTTTGTGCGTCTTGTTTATCATACCTAACACATTTTTCTGGATGTCATCTTTGGTGCTTAGGTAGGTCTAGGTCTACTCTATCTACCATACAGTTATTAAACCTTTTCAGTAAGGTAATTACAGCCCAAGGAAACTCAAAAGTACATCAAAAATGTAACGTGAGTAACCGTGGAATTGCCCATGTACAAATGTACATATTTGTATGTCATATAAAATGTACAATACCGGTACATGTACTACATTGTACATTAATTTTGTCACCCATATGCCATTGTGCATTGTTGGTGTCATTACAAAGTACCGGTAGCAATGTCTGATATTGGGATACAACATGTACCGGGATATTTCTCAAAAGCCCAATAGTTACATTTACCGGTACACGGTATGTCCTGCACGCGTGTCCATGGTGTCCGCAGTCAGAGATGATTAATAGAAAATTGTATTTTAGACGTTAACACGTACATGTGTATTTTGTGTATATTTGGGTGTAAATGCTTTTGATGTCAAAAATCGAAAAGTACATGCAGTGAGTCAGTGCAGTCACCTGTTCATGATGTGCTTTGAGAGCACATCCTCTGTCACCATAACGACCGCATCAACAATTAAAGAAGGCCTTGGTCTTATAGCAAAAACCAGCTGGATAATTTACGAGTGTGCTCATGTCATTACGGAGGTATCAGGAGGATGAGATGTACGTAGGATCAGCAAGATTGTGAGTCGGTAACATTTCTGAGATGGCTAGATAAGTACAAGTGATGTATCGGCAAGTCGCTGCCTCAAATTATACCAGATATGAACAGCTTGTGTGCTTACATTGTGTGGTGATCACCAGAATGTACCGGTACCGGTATCTAGGCCTCTGCTGTGAAACAAAGAGGAGCTGGTGATGTGGCATTGTTTGGACAGCACAGTGTTAGAGTCATGGCCAGACATTTCAGCAGATAACCGATGAAGCTGCCTTGCGATTCTGTACCGGTACCTGTATCTACATGTATAGATTACATACATTGCACACTTGGGCTAGCATTTGTTCGTAGAGAGTGACATTTGAGTTTCTGAAAGCCTCAAGTTTCTGAGGGCTGATCACAACTGCCGGGGGAGGGGGGGGGGGGGTATAGAGAGTCACAAAGAAAGGCCGGTGTCCTTTTCATGCATGGCTGAATATCAGTGAAACTTTTATGTACTGTGGTCAATACCGAATGGTGGCTGAAGAGAAAAAGAAAATGGTAATCTTTCCCGTTTTTGTGGGAGACAAAAACTTTCTCAAAGGGACATTTTTTTACTCAACCTGTACAGATAAACAGCTTTTCATTAAGATATGCTGTGTTTTCCATGCCTGTCACATTAACGATGACCGAACTTGGATTTTGAAGTTCGATCCTGAGTGTCATTAATTTCGTCACAATCTTGACAACCTAATGGTTACTATCGGCCAGTCTGCATTAACGACCGTGGCTTGAATGTTGGCAGTGAACGACATGAACTCGTCAGTATTGATCTCAATACATGAATGATCCCACGCTTACTGTACATGTACCGTATGTAAAGATTCCTGGATTCCTGTTAGCAAAAGCGAATGGCGAAGGAAGTTGGTGTTTGCTGGGATTGAAAAGGAATCGTTAGATATGAAGGTAAAGACAATTGTTTATTTCTGGGGGTTTTTAATGTAGTTTTTTAGGTTTGTTTGTTTACATTTGTATGCATTTGTACCATGTGTACTGCAAATTAGGCATTGAAACACAACATTCTAGGATCTCGATTTCCAATCAAAAGTTGCTGAATCATGTTTTGAATTGGGCCTGAATTCAGCATCCGAGACATGTTCTCACTGAGCCGATTGCAGCTAAGCCGCTATGCGATGTCGCGTAATGCAACCGCGCGCGCATGTGCTTTGTGTCAACTTTTGCACGTGATTCACTGAATAAAAAACGGAAATTTCCAACGGTGCTTCTTAAGACGGTACGTTGGAAAGGGCTTCTTTCGTTGATTTCTTCAAAATGACAGCTTGCCAGAAAAAATAATTTCACAGGGAGTTTTCATAGTCCCCTTACTATCTTCAAACCAAGTATGTTTTTTTTTTTCAACACTAATTACGTCAGTTACGTTTTGGATAGTTGCAAATGATGGACTGTAGCTTTAATCATTCTTGGAGATAAAAGCTTAAAACAATGTGTCAGGAATTTACAAAGCATCACTGTGTCTTACCACTCCACTCAACCACCGGCAAGCTCGGTGGTCAAGTAGTAAGACGTCTACACTAAGCAGGAGGTCGTTGGTTCGAGTCCTACCAGAGTTATATTTTTTTTCTCACAATCACTTGGGACAACAGAGTATATTGTTGATGTACCCTAACGTGGCGCGGCCCCTAACGTGGCGCACTTTGATTTTTTGCCTGTAGCGCCTAGCTAGAGCAAAAGTTTTAACTGAAATTTCACAGAAAGTGAAATTTCATCAAGTTCTAAACACTCCCGTTCATAAATCGCGAGTTTATTTACCCGTTACAAAGTTAAAAGAAAAAATTATTTTGGCGTGATTTTCCGATTTTATTTTCAAGTGCAAAGTGAACCCTTTGAAAATGCCCCGAAAAATAAGAAAATAATTTTCTGACAAACATCTGGCTGGGTTTGTAAGTAAAGATAATAATGATTTATCAGAATTTATCAAGTTTACAGAAATTCTTAAATGTTAATTTGGAATTTTCTGAGATTTATTCAAGTGCGCCACGTTAGGGAACACTCCGCCAATTTGTGCCCAATTTCCGGACGCGACCGTTTTTGCATTTCGGATTAAATTTTATGAAACCGAAATTGTTCACAGAGGTTAAATAGCAAGCATTAAAAAGATAAAAGTACCAGTATTTCACTGCATGAATTTGAGGTTAATCAACAAAGAGGTTTGGCAACACTACACGAGGAAAGTTGGGTAAGCTTCGAAGTGCGCCACGTTAGGGAACACGATTATACAGAGTTTTAAAGATATTTCGGTGAAGGGCAAAACCTAATATTACTCAATTTACTAAATATATTAAACTTGAATATTATCTACATTCTGTACAGTAAGCATGGTAAGCGTCACTTATTGAAAAGGTTTCTCATCCTGTCTGATTGCAATCATACGGTTTTCAAATCTATGTGTACTGTACATGAAAAGAATTGATATTTTCTTTAAGAGGGAGAGTGGTATGACTTAACCAGACACAGTAAAAACAATTTTAAAAACCTGCTATTTCTCAGCGGTAAACAATACATTATTGAATACATATTCCATGTGGATAAAATAAGCAAGCCACATGAATTTATAACATCTGTTCTTTTGTATCTGTATCTTTACACTTTAGTTTTAAACTCGTATCACCAACTTGTCACTCAGGAAACCTTTTCTCCTTGTCATGCTTGTGGGATTTTTTTTCCTAATGAGTCATCTATTAGTAGGTCTTCCCAATAGAACTGGAGTGGACTTCACTTGTACATTTCCAAAGCGACCCTGGGAACTCAGAAGGCTTTTTAGTCTGAATAGAATCAGGCAGCCATTTTGCATTCTCTCACAGACAGGACACGAATCGCTTATCACCATTGTCAACATTGGAAATGCTTTGAAATGCTTTTACATGTATGTACATGTACTGGTGAGGTGTGTGTTTGATAGTGTTAGTGTGCATTTATAATCTAGACTATACATGGTCTAGATGGTTTTACGTGCTTATAGTTATATGGAAGCAAATTTGCAAACATGGCGTCAAGACATGGAATTCATCTCACGGTAAGTGTGAGTGTGCATGTACATGTATACATTTGTACTACATGTAGTCCAGTCATTACTGTAGAAGTGCATGCATGTACATGTACTGAAAATGTATGTTACATGTACATGTACATGTATATGCGCACATGTACATGTAACATACATTTTCAGTACACGTACATGTACGTACGTACTGTAGTCTACATGTACATGTACATGTATGTACATGTGCAAGTTAATGTTGAGACTGCTTACTTGCAATACATGTTGTGTACATGTACATGTACATGTACGTGTACATGTGTAAGTTTATCTGTATACATGTACATGTACATGTACCTTAATTACCATAGTACATGAAATCTCATGCATGGTGCATGTGAGGTACATATGTACATTTTTTGTACAGAGTACCTCTTCTTGTACATGTACATGTACAGTACATATGTACCGTACTCTTAACATGTACATGTACATGGTACATACAACATGTACATGTACAATGTTACAGCAAACAGGTTCAAAATCCCAGACAATAAATGTACATGTACATGTATGTCCCTGATAATCTCATCCCCATTTTTTTCTTTTAAAAACAGTTTAGAAGTACAAATTTAGAAACTTGTACAAGTACTATGTAACCATAGTAACAGTTTCTAGGGTAACATGTTGCATATGCACCAGAAATATTGAATTGTTTTGTAATTTGCACATTGTTATATTCATTGAATTATTTCCTTCAGGCTCAAAAGAAGAACTATCGGCGCGAGAAGAAGCGCGTCACGAAGGAGCTGCTTAGCGCCCTCAAGGATCCATCCATCATTGTGATGGCTGATCACCTCAAGGTACGCATTACGACAGCTTTTTCCCCAAATTGCACACACCATTGAAAAATATTTTTAGTCTGGTCCTCAAGTACTCCACTGCGCACATCGCATTGATGTCTATCAGGTGCTTGACCGCATTGCTTATTAGACTTGTCACCAGTCCATCCCAAACTTTGACGTTGATCCAGTTTAAGCTCCAGGCTCCAGTTCGTGATTTTTGGTCCTTTTAACCAGTTCACGTCGGATGACATCGTACACGCAAAGGTTTTGTGGTATTCGGAACAGATGACGGATAAACGTGCAACGAGCGAGGCCGGAAATATCAGGGTGTGCTACCCGCAGATGACGGCCTGAACCCGTCTGGCATCGAGGTTCATGAAAAACAATCCCGCGCCTGGGTCCGGTCAATGTCAAAATAATCCCGGCCTGAACTGGTTAAAGGCATGGGCCTTATTCACAAGTTGGCCATTTTTTGTCAAGTTCCCTGAATGTATTTCATTAATTGTTAACTGTTGAATGGGATGGCGCCAGACTTTTTATGCAGGCACAATACAGCCTTATTTTACTGTCATTTTTCTTTAAATATGGCTTTAAACATAAGGGAATGAAATTACAAATGTTAAATTATTCATTTAAGCAGACTGGAATTTATTATACATTAAGTTGCTTTCATTTCTCTTTGCAAGTTCCAAAAATAAAGATTTTACCTAACTTTCAATTCAGTATGGCTGACTCGTGAATAAGGCCCATATGATTATTTGCATTTATCCCAAAAGTAACCCACCGATTTATTATCAAAAAGCTTACTTTAATTAAAGATCATACTGGTACTAAACTCCTTGTGAAATAGTCCGTCTGGCTAGTAATATCCACCGAGCTAAAACTTGATGCTACATGTAGGTTTGAAACATTCTTCTTTGGATTTTGAGTGGTGTTATTATTGGAAACAAACAAAATGCATGAAAAGCAACTGATCCTGTAGAAATGATTTCTGTAGAAATGCTCCTAGAATTCTAGATGATAATCGGTGAGAAATTCTAAGTAGTTGTTTATACATAGAAAGGGTTATTTTTCCCTTTTTTTTCTAGGTGAGGGGAAGTTTGAAGGGTTGGACTAAGCTGTGGTGTGTCTTGAAACCAGGACTGCTCATCATCTACAAGAGCCCCAAGGTACGGAACATTTCTTCAAAGCACGGCAAAATTATTTGCTGGTACCAGAAGGCCAGCCTTGTTTCCTCCTGTTACCAATCTCACTGACTCGCTGACTGATTGACTGGCTGTCAATTGCGAGCCGGGCAGTGCTATTGTATAGGATTACCTCCAATGAATGGGCTCAATCCGGCCCATTGTGTTGGCCACATGCTTGAAAAGACTTCCAGTGAATAGCCATTCTGAATCAATGGGCCTTATTCAGGAGTTGGCCATTTTTGTTGAGTTCCCTGAATGTATTTCATTAATTGTTAAATGTTGAAGGGGATGGCGCCAGACTATTTATGCGGGCTTGCAGTCTTGTTTCACTGTCGTTTTATTTAATATGGCTTTACAAATTTTAAATTATTCATTGAAGCCGAGTGGAATTTATTATACATGTAAATTAACTTACTTTCATTTCTCTTCGCAAATTCCAAAAATTAAGATTTGACCTAACTTTCAATTCAATATTGTGTGCACCCTGAGACCAGCTTTATTCAACTTGCCTTGTGATGCTATTCAAAGACCCAAAGCCCAAGCACTGGGTGTTGGTTCCATGCTTTTGCCATCCTTCACAGCTTTGAAGACTTGCCTTCTATCGGAACCTACTGTGCACGGCACTTGAGCTTTGCCTACTACAATGGCGACGCTGACTTTCCAGTACTTAGATGCAGGCTGGGTATAGGATTCTCTCACTGACCCACGTGACCTAGCCTGCATCTAGGTACCAGAAAGTCAGCCTCACCATTGTAGTAGGCAAAGCTCAAGTGCCTACTGTAGTGAATCCTACTGTGCATGGCACTTGAGCTTTGCCTACTACAATGGCGACACTGACTTTCCGGTACCTACCGGTAGATGCAGGCTGGGCATAGGATTCTCTCACTGACCCACGTGACCCAGCCTGCATCTAGGTACCGGAAAGTCAGCCTCACCATTGTAGTAGGCAAAGCTCAAGTGCCTACTGTAGTGAATCCTACTGTGCATGGCACTTGAGCTTTGCCTACTACAATGGCGACGCTGGCTTTCCGGTACCTAGATGCAGGCTGGGTCAGGTGGGTCAGTGAGAGAGCCCGAGATACATTTTTCTTTGTACTCATCCTGATGTTGATTGTACTTGTTTGACAGCATGGGCAGTGGGTGGGCACGATTCTCCTGAACAACTGTGAGCTGATTGAGAGACCGTCTCGCAAGGATGGCTTCTGCTTCAAGATCTATCACCCCCTGGACCAATCCATCTGGGCAACTAGGGTAAGACAACAAGTTTCTTCTTTTTTTTGGATGGATAATTTATGGATGCTTTTATGGATGCTTGATTTCTTGATGACAACAACTGTTTTAGCGTGACATTTCGTAATCTGAGGATCAGGCGCTCACATGTGTAGAGCCACACTACAAACGTTTGATATATCCGTGCATGTACTTTTATGCCACCCTGCACGCCAGCCAATCGGAGCTGCCTCTAGAAGTCGTGACATCATTTAGAGCAAAAATTCAGCCAAGGCTGGATTGGTCAATAGCTTTGTTTTTTCGTACAACATTGGGGTGCCAAAGACACGATAGAAGGCGCCTGCTGATTGGTCAGAATCTGGAGGTCAAGACGCAGTGTTGCATATCATTGACTAGACATTCCCCATCACCCTAACAAATTTACTTGTTGCCAAGGAAAATCTTGAAGGCGCCCGCTGAAAGGTGCCCGCTGAATATGTGCACGTATATGAAGGTCTGATCCTTAGACTAGGAAATATCTGTTGTCGACATCAAGAATTCAGATTCGGACCAGCCAACCGATCCCACAATCTCAGTGGTCTAGTGGTAAGATGTCTGCACTAGAAAGCAGGAAGTCGTGGGTTCAAGTTTCACCCGAGTGATTTTTTGTAACTTTCATTTGGGAGGTAACACACTGAGTATACAGTGTTTATACGTTGATGAAGGGAAAACCTATCATTGAGTTATTGATCTGTTTCAATTTTACAATCAACAACAACTGATTTCAAGCTTGGTTTTACACTTTAGGGACCCAAAGGCGAGACCATGGGATCCATCACCCAACCCCTACCCAGCCAGTACCTGATCTTCCGGGCACCCTCCGAGGCAGCTGGCAAATGCTGGATGGATGCCCTTGAGCTAGCCCTACGCTGCTCCAGCCTACTCATGCGCTCCATGAGGGATGGGACCACGTTAGACCCGGCCGTCATCAGCCAGTCATTCAGCACGGAGAAAGGGCTGAACGAGAGCGAGATTGAGAACACGCACTTCAGGCATGAAGGTAATTCTCATAGGAAAGGGACACTTTACTGGCAGGGTATTGGGGTACAAAAAGACGTGAATGCGAGGTTACCGATGTTAGTTCATATATGTGATGCAATCAAGCTAAATGTATAATTTTTATTACAGATTTGAAAAGAGCACAATCTCAGCATTACTGCTGTGAAAATCGCATGCTGATACCATCTTTAGTTCCAAAATTATGGAAGTCATGTGATGAAGTGATGTGATGAAGTGGCCCCATTTTGGCCTGTATCTCCAAATGAGAATTCCTGACAAATGACTCATGTAGCTTGATCGCATCACATATTGTTATCAGTTAAAGGTAAAATAGGAACATTTGCAGTTACCCTGAAATAAACTTCAGTAAGGTTGGCGTAGTGGTATTTTCTCCCTTCTTCCACCGCTGTGACCCGGGTTCGATTCCTGCCTGGGCCAATATGTGGATTGGGTTTTCAGTCCCTACCTGACTCCGTGGGTTTTCCTCAGAATATTCGTCTGGGGTTTTCCTCCCACCTCTAAAAACTGTAATTGCTTCTTATTGACTCGTCTCCACAGGTTTCTTCAGGCTTGCGAGCTACAGTGCATAGGGCACTTTTGAGAAAACCTTGGTTTCATTACCAGAAATAAATAATTGTAATAATTACAATAATAATACCTACCGATTTACATTGTAACAAGAAAATCCTTGCTCAAAGTGAAGATAGGAGTGTGCCAAATCCCCTGTGAAATTGTTCAGCCAGAAATGGTATCACTCAGAAGAAAACAGTCATTAACTTGAGGTAGTTTAAGAAAACATACCCATGGGCACAGGTTTACATGCATTTGGGCAGCTGGGCGATGTAAGGAGTAACAGGCAGGACGCTTTTAGGTTGGAACAGGGATTTATAGATTCATCTTTGGCCATTTCCAAAAATGGGGAGTCAGGTTGGCGTAGTGGTACTTTCCTCGCCTTCCACCGTTGTGACCCGGGTTCGAATCCCGCCTGGGCCAATATGTGGATTGGGTTTTCAGTCCCTACCTGATTCCGTGGGATTCCCTCAGAATACTCTTCTGGGCTTTTCCTCCCACTTCTAAAACTGTAATTTCTTCACATTGTCTTCTCTTTACTGGGCCCCATGGGAGATCAGTGGATTCCACTGAATGGGCTACCCAGTTAAAATAAGAATTAAATAAATAAACACCTAGACAATAGCTTTTAGCTTTAGACGCAGCCAAACTCTTTGACGTTTTTTTTTTTTTTTTTTTTCAAATCAGGTCTTGACGACGAGTCTCCAGACAACGAAAGTGACAAGGACCAAGACAGCAAGAGCGAGTCCGACATATCAGAGCCAGAGGATATCTCCTCGGTCAACGGACCCACGCCCACGCAGGACGAGACCACGTATGTCACCAACAAAGTGGAGGAACTGGGACTGGTGAGTTGAAAAAGGAATCGAGACGAATCATAGTGTTAGAGTGATAGTAACCTTCTCGGGAAAAAGAGATCTTACTATTGTCCTGGCGAGACCCTGACTTTTGTTGTACGTTAACCCTAACCTCTCCAACTCCAACAAAATCCATCCCCCCATTTTGGTGGATTTGGGGAACCTTTCCAGGCCTGGTGTGACTAAATATTGATGGAGTATGATGGACTTGGGCCTAATGGCCTGAAGCAGTGCTAGGGGTATCCAATTGATTTTGCCTAGCTTCCTGTACTGCTATTGTGATAGAAGCCATGTTTAGCAAGTCCATGAATGTCAACCAGTGCGTCAGTGGTGGATTCCATTACGTCATGTACAGTTTTGTGTTGGAAGCACAGTGATTGATGGATTTTGATGGACTTGGTCCAGTTCCTAGTAAAAGACGCCCGGGAGTTAGGGTTAATTTGAAAATGATATTCCAAAATAATATATTCGTGGTCTTTCATCTAATAATGACACAGCGTAGGCTAATACAGGGTTCAACTTTAGCAGTAGCCTGCTAGCCAAATGCTTGTCAAAACAGCGGCGGGCTAGTCAAACTATTCCTTAAGTAGCCCGGCTGGCGAGTCTAACATTATTGGGCTACGGCAAAGATGAAGGGACAGGTAGAAATAAATCATTAAATTCAGAAAGCAAACCTGTATCAATTTGTGTCAAATTTTATTAACTGTTTAGGGTTACATTATTGGATCTGTTTATTAAAAACACTGACAAGATTGCCTTGGGATACACATTTTACATGTATGCACGTTGTTTTTAATGAGACACTCCATAAAAGAAAAACATGCGGGCTAGTGAAAATGCCCGCGGGATAGTTAAGAGTCTGTTTCAGTAGCCCAGCTTGCTAGTGAAAAAAAGTTAAGGTCAAACCCTGGCTTATTTTAAATTATTTTGTTTCTAAAAATAAAAACATTTGATAAAGAATCAGGTCAAAAGGCCTCAGAAAAGTCTCGATTATAACACTTAATTAAATAGGCCTCGCAAACAAGGGGACACAAAAGAAACTGACAACACAATTATGGGATGAAGACCTTTGAGTCTTCAAAATGGAAAAAAAATGAAAATCTCTTGTAAGTTTTAATACTCAAACGTTTCCTGAAATGATTATTTCTGGCAGGAGTGTTCCCAAACCGAGACCCTGGAGGAGGAGAACAAAGGTCTGATCTGGACGCTGGTCAAGCAGGTCCGGCCGGGCATGGACCTGTCCAAAGTGGTGCTTCCGACATTCATCCTGGAGCCTCGATCATTCCTGGACAAGCTGTCGGACTTCTATTACCACGCCGACCTCCTCTCCCAGTGAGTTTCATCATCAGTCACAAGTCAGTCATATGCCATCACATGTCAGTCGCAAGTGACTCCCTAGTCAGTCACGAGTCAATCATAAGTCAGTCAAGAGCCATCATAAGTCATTAAAAACCAGCCACAAGTCAATTTCAAGTCAATCACAATTCAGTCTCAACTTAAATCTGTCACAAATTAATCACAAGTCAGTCAAAAGTTAGTCACAATTCAGTTACGCGTTAATTACAAGGCGGTAAAACGTTAGTCACAACTGAGTCAAAAGTTACTTTACATGTGAGTAAAAAGTTGGTCAAAAGTGAGTCACCAATCAGTCAAAAATTTGCCACAAGTTAATTACAAGTCATTCAAAAGTTAGTCACAAGTCAGTCAAAATTTTGTGAAAAGTCAGTCAAAATTTAGTCAAAAGTCAATCAAAAGTAATCACAAGTGAGTCAAATGTTAATCACAAGTCAGTCAAAGTTTAGTCACAAGCCAATCACACCGGTGTGTGCGTCACAAGTCAAGCCAACCATCGCTCAGGCATAAGTCTGTCATACGCCAATTAAAAGCCTGTCACATGTCAGTCACAAGTCAATCACAAGTCAGATACAACTCTGTTGTCAGTTAAAGTCTGTCACAAATCAGTCACAAGTCAATCACTCATCAATCAAGTTACAAATAATGCATCTCTTGATATTTTTTTTGTATATCTAGGGCTGTTTTTGAGGAGGATCCGTTTTCTCGCATGAAGCAGACTGCTCGCTGGTACCTCTCTGGCTTCTACAAGAAACCAAAGGTAGGCACCACAAACGGAACTTTTGCATAAATTGAAGCTGCAGGGCTTGAAATACCCACTGTACTGTTTAACCAAGCCAATTGATAAAATGGTCGTCACAATTAATATCATGGACAACTTGTGGACAAAAAAAATAAAAACAGGGCTGACAACTTCCATGAGACGACTACTTCTAACTCGATAATAGTATTTGTTTAATAGTAGGTTTTGCCCTTCACCGACGTATAAACACTGTATACTCAGTTTGTTACCTCCCGAGTGTAAAGTTGGAAAAAATCACTCGCATGGGACATAAACCCACGACCTCCTGCTTTCTAGTGCAGACGTCTTACCACTCGACCAATGTGATTTTTTTCCAACTTTTACTCGGGAGGTAACACACTGAGTATACAGTGTTTATACGTCGGTGAATAGAATTATTTTTTTTGTCTCTTATTAGGGTTTAAAGAAGCCCTACAACCCCATCATCGGCGAGACCTTCAGATGTCTCTGGACTCACCCTAAGACTAAGAGCCATACATTCTACATCGCTGAACAGGTATTCAAAACAAAAACACAATTGATGGCCAAGTTCGCGCAAGGACTATAGTTGACCAATGGTTTACTAACGTTTGCCCAAACTCTGTCTAGTCGACGGTGGTTGACTACGCTAGTCGACTATTTGGAACCAGCCTACTGGGTTTGGTTGCTTCGCTGGTAACCAATAGCTTTGCGCATTCATAACGCTAGCAGAGAGCCAGGATCCAGAAGTTTTGCGATGACATTTTGACCAGCGTTTGACGAGAGATGTTCGCACGTTGCTATCAGTGCGCAGGCGTAAGGTACGTCACAAATCAACCACTAGTCGACGAATGGTCCTTGCCCGAACTTGGCCTCAGCTGTTGATCAGTTCATCAAAGTAGTTCCCTAGCAGTGTCCTCATTCAGTTACAAGGGAGAATTAAGAGCGAATCTAAGTTAGGAGTTAAAGTGCACTCATGCAAATTGTACACATTCTGAGTGAAATGTTGGTCTGTAGGATCGTTTGCATGTATGCCAAAAGTAACCTACCAAGTTTAGGGAAAATACAACATTTGCAAACATCAAAATATAAAACTACCAAATCATTTTGAAATACCTTGCTGGACTGTTAGTGAATGACAGTGTAAAGCATCCTGTAAAATCATGGTATACTGTCATTTTCAAGAAAAGTGGTATTTTTGTATCAATTTCCAACGCTGATCGGCCGATCAGCGTTGGAAAAAACTGGCTTTTTTTCAAATACTGGCCCCAGTTGACCATCGCACTTGTTTGCAATCGATTACACACCTATGAACGGGTACAAGCCAGCTAGACTGGTTCCCTGACCTTACAATTCCCCAATGTACAATGTACATGTATGTAAACTGCTCTGTTTCTTCTTAAATGGAGTCAGGGAACAAGACTACAGGAAAATGATTGTTTTTCTTGGTTTTTATAGCATTTTCGAACCCAAAACCTCAAAAAAGTCAGTGTAAATATATTTGCTATATATTTCCAACCCCCCAATTCCATCCATTTCTGAAAATTACAGCAAAAGCAAATGATGTATATTCCCTTTAACATCAAAATACTTAAAAGATCGTACTGGTACTAAACACCCCATGAAATTATTCCGTCTGGCTTGCTGTCATTTAGAAGAAATCAAGAAATGTAAGTGATTTCCAAATATCAGTCAGTTGACTGATTTTTGGAATAAAGGGTGTGCATGGTTTTTCAATGTTTTCTCACAAAGTGTAATGGCCACTGAGATGACACTTAAATAGGTTTTGAACATTCTTCTTTGGATTTTGAGTGGTGTTGTTATTGGAAACAAACAAAATACATGAAAAGCAAATGCTCCCTAAGTGTGTGCGCTTACAACATGCCCTTCCATAGAGCTTTCACGAGTCGTCACTAGGCCGAAGTTGGGAATAGTGTTGATTTTTTTTCTCTCTCTCCAAAAATAACCATATTTTGCTGTTCACATTGTCCCTAGGTATCCCATCATCCTCCAGTGACAGCCTTCTACATGACCAATCGTAAGGACGGATTCTGCATCAGCGGCAGTATTCTTGCCAAGTCCAAATTCTACGGCAACTCAGTGACGGCCGCCATGGACGGACTGGCCACCCTGTCCTTTCTGGCGAGGGGGGAGGACTATCATATCACCATGCCCTACGCAAACTGCAAAGGTAACGCAGCCCTGTCAGCATGAGAATTTTAACATGCTTTTCCAATAATGTCTAATAATTTACTAGCCATTCTTATTATGTTCACATATTATGCGAATATCGAATGCTTCAAGTGGTAGGGTAAAACTATAGCCTCCCGAGGTGATCCATGGAGGGTTCTGGTTTCCCGAGGCGTAGCCGAGGGAAATGGAACACTCCATGGATCACCGAAGGACGCTAGTTTAACTACACCACAACTTATTGCAGTCAATATTTGTTTAATAACACCTCTCCCACAGATTCTGCTTGATTTTAAGAGATAACTGATTAATTCAATCTGAGTACAATTAAAATGTAATTATATTTGAATATGAAATTAGGTGAAATTTACTTGCGGTTTTCCAAACAACCCCTTCACGAAATGTTTGAACCCAGCTCTGTAGAACACTATTCGCAAGGCGTACCTGTTACTATGCGTATAGTACTTTTTCTGCCATTGTATTGTCGTTGTGGCCATGCACAGCAAGATAGCCAAAATAGCAAATGCCATGTGACTCCCTCTTGACCAATCAAGATACAGAATCTGTGGAAGAGGTGTTGCTGTTCCAGTATGTTTTGAGGTTTATTTGGTTTTTGTTTCTCAACTGTAGCCATGTATCTGAATTGTTTCGGTTATATTATGAATGAGGGTGCCTTACATACAGGAGAAAAAAATGTGTGGAAGCAAATAGAAAGTTTTCTTCAATCAAAAAAGTGTTATTGATCAATGATAGCAACTTTTAAACCTGATAATAACATGGATTTCACCACTTTCATTTCCATTGACAGGGATCCTGTATGGTACCCTGACCATGGAGTATGGAGGGAGGGTGTACATTGAGTGTGATAAGACTGGGTACAAGACTGAGCTGGAGTTCAAATTAAAGGTGAGAAAAGATCACTTGTTTTCCTTTTCCTTTCACCTGTTTTCATTTGCACTAAATTCTCTTATTAAATTGAAAAACATATTTTTGTTCCATAAAGATTCATTAAAAAGCGAAACAATTGTGATGATTCCGTTTGGATTTTTTTTTTCCATTTTGGAAAAGCCATTATGTCAAGTCGACTCTTGCCAAGTCTTTACTCATCTCTTCACCGATTGGTCCATTCTTTATGCAGCCATTCCTTGGCGGCAGCGATTCATCCAATCAGCTTGTGGGTAAGATCAAGTTTGGGAAGGAGACCCTGGCAACTCTGGAGGGCCATTGGGTGAGTTTTGCCTCCATTGCCATAGAAACCCTGTTTTTCACCATGTTCACCAGCGCAATTCAGTTGTTAATAGACTCCGAAAGTCAGTGTTCAAATGCAGTTTAGGGAGCATTTTATCTTATCAGAAAAGATTAAAATGGACTTTTCTTTGTTATTTTTATCTGCGTTTCTTTTTTTTGGGGGGGGGGGGTTGACTGAACTTATTTTTTCCCCCTTTCTTTCACTTGTCCGTATTAATTGCTGCATGATACAGGCATGCAACTTTTCCTTGGATCCGCTGATTTCCTCGTTTTTTACTTCTCATGAATGCCATTACATAATGAAAAACACTGTACAAAGTCTTGTGTGGTTTGGATTTTCCTCGTTTTTTCTAAATTCCCAGTTGCATGCCTGATGATATGTTCAGAAGTCAAAACTTGTTATGTTGGAGATAGCACTTGGTTCCTTATGGGTACAGTATTTGCTAAATTTCAATTACAAAATGAAATAGACTAATTTTTCTTCCTTTTTTTCTCCCAGGATGATAAGGTTTACATCAAAGACAAGAGAACTGGAGTAAGTTTCCACAGTTTTTCCTCTTTAAAGGAAGGAAATTAGTTTATTGAAATATACAATTATTGATATAATTACAAAGTATTTGATGTATTTATTGATAATGTTGTTCAATTTGTAACATGCAGAACGTGGAGCTGTTTTGGGTGGTGTCGCCGGAAGTGAAAGCCGCGCGATTGCTTCGTTCCACGGTCGCCGTAGAGGAGCAGGCAGATTTCGAGTCAGAAAAGTAAGTTTGTTTTTAACCCTCACTTATTTAGGACTATTGTCGGTGTCCTTCCAAACCCATCGTCAAGACCCTGATGGAGGACAATGGAGCTGATTTATTTCCCAAATCATAATTCATTGCCTTCAGAAAAGCTGAAAAAAAATATCCGGGAGAAACTACCACAGCAAAATCAAGAGCTAAACTCACTCCCGACAGACTCCGGCTCTTTTGAAAAACTAACTGAACCTGATAAAACCTCAATATATTGCTCTCCTTACTAGAGGAACAATTTGAAACCAACTAAAGTCACATGGTTGTAACCAAAACACTCCAAACTTACGATACATGATTGGAATATAACCAATCCCAACCACAACTTTTCCGCGAGTCAGCTTCGATTCTTTTTTGAATCACCTATTTGCAACTGAAGAGTGCCCAATCAGCAAGGCACGAAAGGACGCTATTGCTGACAAGAGGATTTGCGAACATAATCCTCTGCTCGCACCATTAATCACATTTGATTACCCAACCTATCATAGTCACTTAATCTCTTATGTCCGCCCACTCTACATTTCAATCGGACATAACCGGCAAAGACTAAGTCATGCTTAAAATCCATACTAAGCCATACAAGTCAGCAGAGAAGAAGTGTCACTGAATGGGATAGTGCCACTCCTTTTCCAAACAAAGATGATGGAACAGGACATGAGGCTCGTCCATCATCGTGCCCGATGCAAGCGCAACTTGTAGTCGATGGATAATGATAATGACTGCTTTGGACTCTGTGCACAAATAAGAGATGGAACGTTATGACACTTTTGAAACTCCAATGAAGGGACGCATTGCGTGCAGGTATAGGTTCGCGCGACGCGTAGTGCGCGTGATAATTATGTAAGTTTTTGAAAAGCTAGGAATCAATGGGCTCTGTGCGCCAACAAAAGAGGGGGCGTTTTTACCTCTTTTGAGAGCTCCCTGGACGAGACAAAAAGCATGCGCGTACTGTACTGTACTGGTTCGCACACGAAGTACGCACGACTTCCTGAATGTGCAAGAGCTATGGCCACCGCGTCTTCTCGTCAGCGTCAGGCGTCGTCGGTGCGCAAATACGTTCGAATCCAACTTGCGATGGTCTCCGAGACTAATCCCCGCCTCCAATAACTTCAGATACATTTGAAATATGCAGTGGATGGATCGAGAACCAGTCTAGGTCACCCCCAACTCTCATTTTCTGGCCGTTGATGCGGTACTTGCGCACGGAGCCAATTGTTCAATTTGTTTTTAGAAGAGTCTAATAATTTTTTTTATATTTTGTTTTTTTCTCCCAGGCTATGGTCTCGGGTTACAGACGCCCTGGCCAGGAGCGACATCCAAGAGGCTACCAATGAGAAGTTTGTCCTGGAAGATGAACAACGCAAGGGCCACAAGGAGAGAAAGATGAAGATGATCGCGTGGGAACCGCGTCTGTTTGAGCGAGACGAGATCACGAGGGACTGGGTCTACAAACACATGGAGTAAGTTTCTGACTGTCTGTGTGGGTATCTGTCACCCTGAATGTCACTACTTTTTGCATCTGTATAAGAGGGTGACATCCATAGAGTCTACAAACATATTGTCAGCCACACCACAAAGTACAGGGGTGTGAAATCTCCGCTATTTAGCGGATTTCCGCTTTTTTGCTCAGCGTGCCACATTTTGTTTTCCGCTTTTTTTCTTCCGATGGTCCAGATTTCCCCCCGCTTTTTCCCCCGCGCGTAAGCTTTGATTTTATTTCCGTTTATTTTATTTTCCGCCGCCGCCAAACGCACGCGATCCGCTCTCTACAACATACACGTAGCTCTGAGATGGGGTGCGTGCAAGCGAGTATTCAATGTACATGTACATGTACATGTACATTTACGTACGTACGTGAGTACTATACGATGCCATGTGCATGCATTTTCAGCTCGAAGCCGCGTGTGTACACAACGTGTAAACAGCATCCGGGGAACCAACAGTCATGGCGCTGTGATTGGCTGCAGATAAATATGAATATTCACACATGCGCCATGAAGCGCGTTGGGACTCTTTGCGGCCGTTCCTGTGTCTATGCATGTAGTGACACGCGATGATCTCCACAATAACTCGTTGTAAACATCGTCTTGTTGCAAATATAAAGCCTTGAAATAAGACTAGTAAATTGTCGCCGACGTGCCGCGCCGGTAGAGGGCATCATGCGGGGCAAAGTTCATGTGTACATTTCATTGCATGCACGCATCCTGCTGCGTATTCCGCTGCATGCTGATACGTACGTACGTTAGTGTGTCGTTTCAAATGTTTCGAACGTATTTTGACATTAATTCCGCAAGATGTCAGTGCAACACAAATGTGTTATTATCCCAAGAGGTTCAGAGTTTGATTCGGACATTGACAAGACCGATCCTCAGGTTACGAATTCGTGGAAATGGATTTGGATGGAACACATGGTTAACTTAATGGGCAGAAATTAGGCGACTCGATCAGAAGCCGGGACACGCGATATGACGATGTGTATCAATATTCTGCAGTAAGGAGTTAAAATATGGAAAACTGCGGTTGAATTTCCCAGTTTTCATATATAAGTTGGCCATTTAGGCAGTTTCAAGCCAATATGAAGGAAAAGTTAACTTAAAAACATGCATAAATTGCAAAACATTTTCGACCAATAGTTGGCCCAGGCATGCCAGGGGGCTTTAAAATGCACCACAGAGCATCTACATTTCAAAATTTTTTCGGGCCCCGAACCCCACGCCGTAAGGGCTTCACGCTTCGCGCTCACAGGTTCGGTTATTTACAGGTTCAGCTATTTTCAGCTATTTTTTTTGGACTCCACTCACACCCCTGAAAGTAACACCCATGTACATACCAGTAAAAACTACCAATCGGAGAAAACAACATCTAAAGTTAAACGCCTTCTAGAACAACACTTTGCGTCAAAACTGCAGAGTATTTTCAGTTGGATTTCTCATTGTGGACACTTGAGGTATTGAATTTATTTAATCTGCTGTTTTTCACCTGTTTGTATATTAAATCAACAAGAAATAGGAGAAAAAAGGTGAGTGTTAGTTCGTGAAACCGAAAAAGCTGCGAAACTGTGAATGTTTGTTTTCACGAAGAAGTACGCTTCAATGTATTACAACACTAGGTGAGTGCTACTTCAGGTCAGCGCGCGCGCGCGCTCAAACAAGGAGAGTGTTACTTCGTGAAAACATTTTTACTCACATTTGAGCAGAGTGCGCGCCATGCATTACAATGGTAAATGGAGTGTTACTTCTTGAGTGTTACTTCTTGAAAACAAAAATTGTCATTTTTGCGTAAAAGTTGCCATGGATAATTAGCCTAATTATCAAAATAAAGCTCTTGAAGCTTTGAAACTTCGTGCAATGGTAGGGCTTGATGAATAATGTTTAAAAAATGTAAAAAACTGAAAATCGGAATCTTGGAGTGTTACTTCGTGGTGTCTGTGAAGATGGTACATTGGTATCAAATTCCATGCGAAACAACAGTGGCTGGGCTCTTCATTCCTCCATGCTGAAAAATCCCTGAAAGCTCCTCGGGATTTTAAAAGACTTAGGAGGTTTACAGTTAAAACACATGTTTTCTTTCATTCTTTCGCTCTCTCTTTTTTTCTTCTTTTTTTCAACTACCAGCAACCGTCCCTGGGACCCCCTGAACGACATCGAGCAGTTTGAGCACAACGGCATCATCCAGACCCGCACGCGCCACAAGACCTCCATCCTGCGCACCACCAGCATCATCAGCCTGCCGCACAAGAACGGCCCCCACGAGAAGCGGCTGAAGCGCAACGCCTCGCTGCAGCACAAGAAGAAGAAGACACCGGGCCCCAGCCTGCCGCGGACTACCAGCGGGAGCGGAGACAGCGAGTGCTCCACGCCGCAGGAGAAGGACTCGGAGGAAGAACTATCAGAGGCTGAATGTAAGTTGAGTATAAGGACACCGTGCGGGAACACTAGAGGGAGCTGTTCCGCCAACTTGCGAGTAATAATAATAATAATAGTGGATATTTATAAAGCGCACGTATCCACCAAGACTGGTGCTCAAGGCGCTACATCATTATTACCCCTGCTCATTGGGCACATGAGACATTCCAAATACCATCTCAGCTCCCTGGGGAGTATACAGCTCAATGCAGCCTGTTAGGCGCAAGGAAGCTTATTCAATCACAATAACCATCTCTGCCCTCACAGGTACCCATTTACTCCTGGGTGGAGAGAAGCAATGAGTGACAAAGTGCCTATCTATACAACAACAAACAAACACACACCAAAAAAAACACATCTAATGTCATCTCTATCTGACTTCAGCTTTTTCCCTCACTTGCTGTGTACAAGAGTATAGGAGATTTCAGCTTTTTTTGTTTTGGATTTCAGCTTTTTTCCCTCACTTGCTGTGTACAAGAGTATAGGAGATTTCCAAAGTTCAGGTTTTTTACACCTTTTTCAGCTATTTTCAGCTATTTTTATCAGTGTTCACTCACACCCCTGTAGTAGTAGGATTAAGATCCGGATTAAGATCCGGAATTTTTTTTATTCGGTTTGAATTCCACTATTTGGTTTTTGGAAACCTGATATTTGAAATAAAGGTAAACGTAAAGGGGACGAACCTGTGTTCACACGAACAGAGCGCCCATCTCTCTTACGAAGCTATTGGGCCAGACTCTTGTGCTGCTGTGGGGGGATCAGAAAACCTCCACAGCGAGTCTGTTACCTTCCCAGCATTGAATAATGCCGGTACCCATTCAACACCTGGGTTGAGAGGAGTAATTGAGGTGAAGCGCCTTACTCAAGGGCACAACATGCATGGCCACGGCGGGGCTCGCACCCTCAATCGCACGATCATGGGGCCTTTCAATTATTATTTGAAACCAACCTTTAAATAAATTCAGCCTTCCATTTTTTTGTCACACAAGCTAATGAAAATATCTTGAGCATCCCCCAATTTGCTCCATGGTCTCTGATTGTGACACTCGCTAAAGGTCTTGGTTCGTAGATGGTCTGCCCATTCGACTGATCAGAGAGTTCCTATCCATTTTTTGACCATTACACTGCTCTGGATTGTTTTTTGAGTGGGCTTAGTGATCAGCTAATCTCGCAAACTATACCCAATCATTGTGGAGGGCATTGCATGCGGCACATCACTTGTCACTTTTTGTTGGCGTGACTGTGAGCTGAATGGGAACTTCCAGTGAAACCAGATAACCGTTATTTGGTTTTAAAAACAATAAGAATAACCGTTTTTTTTTTTAATCTCCGACTTCTCCCACCATTACTTGCGAGAGTTCCAGGGTGCTTGATACACCATGTGCACACCCTGGTCCTTGTGCATTTGGCGTGAAGTGCACATGTCTGATTTTTCAGTGTTCATAAATGCGCAACCGAATGCGTGGCTGCAAATCATATTTAGTTGTTCCTGACCATGAGGTAAATGGAGCTCACAAAATGGGCTGCGTTTGATATATGCATATTATTATTGTACATGTATATTTTTTTTCTTCATTTGTGGACACCGTGTTTATATCGTCACTGCAGCTTCATTTGAACCTGTTAGTCCCTGAACAAACTCCACTGCCCTTTGCTCCCTGTACCGCCCTAAGTTGCCCGAGCACTCTTAGCTTTGATGGATCCATCTAAGAATAAATACAATGTAATGACAAACAGGTGCTATTGGGCGAAAACAAATTTCCAAATAAATCCTAGTAAGGCCCAAAAAAAAAATATTCGGTCTCTGGTCAGACCAAAGTTCCGGAATTGACGCGGCCACGCGGCTTTTTTTTTTTTTTTCCCTTCAAGCTTGGATTGTACAGACAAGGTGGGAACTATTTTGCTTTTTTGGTGTCCTCATGTACATTGGTGTCCTCCATAATTTGCCTTGGTGCTTTCGATCATTTGCCTTGGTGCAATTTCCCATTCCTTGGTGCTCTTTGGTAAAAAAAAATGAAGGAGGTGCGCAAATAGAGGGCGCTGTTGGAGCTACCGCGGAACATTTTGGAGAAAAAAAAGATCGACGCGCATGATTAAAATCGACGCGCGCGCTGACCAGAGACCGACTTATTTTTTTTTTTGGCCTAACACAGGCAGTGCCATTTCACCGAAATCCAATATTTTCGCAATTTGTGTCTGCAGTAACTGCTGAAACCATGGAAGCGACCAGTACTAGCCTGCAGAGCACCGTCATTATGGAACGCACCATCCAGCCGATGCTGGAAGGACAGAAGCGCATCGAGGACCAACTCAAGGCCGTCAACAGCCGTCTGGCCGTCATGATCCGACAGACGCGGCGTGACGAGGGTGAGAGCGCCCCCATCAGTCGCGAATTGATAATGATCGCTGTAGTGCTGCTCATTGGGCAACTCATTGTCGGCTTTCTCTTCAGGTCGTGACCTATGACCCCTGAATGACCTTGACACACTGGAAGTGGGAGCGTGACCCTTGAAACAGGCATTTTGACCTTTGACACAGAAAGCAAGGGTGACCTTTGACACAGAAAGCAATGGTGACCTTTGACACAGACAGCAGAGGTGACTTTTAACAGAGGAAGTTGCGGGTGCCCTTTGACACGAGAAGCGGATGTGACCTTTCACACAGGAAACAGTTTTGACCTTTGACACAAAAATGGTAATTTTGACAAAGCAAACAAGGTTGACTTTGGATTCATGAGTGCAAAGTGACTTTTAAAACAAGAAGTGAGCATGCAACCTTTGACACAAATTGAGAGGGTTATTGTTCACACAGGCAGTAAAAAATGACATTTTATTTGTGAAGCGAGAATTGAATGTTAGACTTTTTGAAGTCACAGATTTACAGTGACATTAGACTTTTGTCTGACTAAACATATCACCTACTTCACTGAAAGACAAGAAAGTAGTTTGTGTACAATAAATTAGAGTAGTTTGCAATGACCTGTAGTCACAAAGACATTTTATACAAAGCAACAGGAAAGTTAATCTGTCAGGAATTGTCAAAGACGGGCTAGAATACAGGATGAGTAAACAAAAGAAACAGAAACCCAAATGGCAGGACTATTTTCTTAATAAAGTTCTGCATGTAGCACTTTCAAAATCTAGAATATGAAAGCCCAATTCATAAGCTTTCTTTGAGTACAGGAATTGTTCAAATCACTTATGCACTTTTCAAGTTACGGAATTTTAAACACATGCACCGTTTTAAAACCGTTTTAAACCACGGATCACAAAAAAAGTAAGTGTTCTTTCAGCAAAAGGAAAACAATTAAGATACATTGCTGAAAGAACACTTACCTTTTTGGTGATCTGTGAACTTGAAACGGTGCATGTGTTTAAAATTCCGTAACTTGAAAAGTACATGAGTGATTCGAATGATTCTTGTACTAAAAGAAAGCTTATTAATTGGGCTTTCGTATCCTAGATTTTGAAAGTGCTACATGCAGAACTTCATTAAAAAATTGGTCCTGCCATTTGGGTTTCCTTTTTCTTTTTTCTTTTTTGACTTACTCTGTACAATTAGAATGTTGTTGGTACGTTTCCACTGAAGAGGCTGTTAAACACAATTCACTACAGTCACATGTTTATATCGCGAGGCTTGACAGAACTCGTTCCTGTCGACGGCTTGTGATGATTTCACCTGTGAACGAACTCCAGGATTTGTCGTGGCATTGCATGCCATGTTAAGTACGATCAGATATTTTTGTAAAAACCTGTTGTACATGTACATGTGAGGTAATTGTTGGGTAATTGTGTAACACAAAATATACTATGGACCCAGTTTACAAGTGGTGTACCGTGGCCAACGCAGAACAAATTTTGTTCCGTGGCCCCGCCCTCCTACTTTCAGGAAAGTAACTTTGTCATGACCAATGCCTTAATTAGCTCTGCCTTGTGACCTTTGACACCTCACCTTTGACCCTGAGTCATTGTACATACACAAGTTGTGGGTCTGAGCGTCTGTTTGTGATAGTTGCAGCAGCTGTTTCAAATTGCCATTTGTTCATGTGACATTTGTCGAAAATATAAGTACTCTGAAATTTTATAAATTAAAATATCGTACGTCACAGTCAACGCTGTGAGGTTTTGAATATTGGTGGGAGGTTTTTTTGCATACATTGTATGTGAAAGAGACTAGAATTTGATGGTGGGAGTTTCTAATGCCAAGTGGTACACAATTTTGTTTACAAAAAGTATTCCTGGTGTGTTGCAAACTTTAACCTTTGACCCTTATCTATCATGACCTTCCAACCCTGATAATCGTGTGCGTGTTTTTCCAAGTGACCTAGTGCTTAACTATGTGCAGTAAGTCTTGCACGCACTTTGACATTTCAAGACATTTCATCTTGCAGTGGTCATTTTTGTCTTGAAGCACATTCCTCAGTTATGAAAACCTGTCTACAATGAAGTGAAACATTCTGTCGTCCTTGAACGGACTTTAATGTTAACCTCAAAGAACGTCTTCTACACTTGAGCTTGATCATGAGCTTCACTTTGGTGTAAGTTTTTCAGTTTGAGTCAAATGCTGATAGAGCCTCAGTCATGTGGTCAGCTGAGGTTCACTGTGAGGTTGTCAACCTCATATAACCTCGCTTACAACTATACTTTTGGCCGAAGATCATATTAAAGTAGGGACACTTTCTGAGCCTTTCAAGGCCTCCCAAACCTCATAAACCTCACAGAGTATCACTCTGCGCCTCAAAGAACATTGCAGACAACCTCACTTAAAAATGTATACAATGTCCACTCAATCAAACCTTTCTCAGCTCCACAAAAGTGTGTCATTCTGTTCCTCAGAGCCGCAGTACAGTCTGTGCTGCATAGAAACTGTTTTCTGTAACCTCAAAGCAACGTCGTACCAAAACCTCACAAGATTTGTGCGAGGTTTAGCCAAAATGGCCACTGCTGATAATCTGACTTGTATATCCCCTTCCCCCCTAAAAAAGTGGTTGTTGAGTTTTATTTGTATTGTTAATATGTAAGTACAAAAATAAATAAACAAATAAATGTACTATAAGATAATTTATCTGTGAATAATATAAGTTCACAAAATGCTATGAGCGAACAAAAACAGTAATGATATTTTATTGTAGTTTATATATCAAATTGTATGTTCTCTGACAAAAACAGTGATTTGATTGGTTCTGAGGAAGAAGTGAAGGGGCCAGATAATTATTTTGTTTAGTTTGTCTTCCAGTTTCGTGACAGTATTTCTAGGGGGGGGGGGGGAAAGAAAGTAAAATCAGCTCTTAATTATCAATGTGAGAAACAAAGCATTGTATTTTCAAGACAATAAATCACTGCTTTTGTTTATGATTCATTGTCCAGAACACGTGGTGGAATAACATCATATTAAGGATATTCAAATGGAAATTCCTTTCTGATGAGCTTCTCGTTATTATCTGTAAATTATTATTATTTTTTAAATTACTTCATTCAACAAGTTTCCTTTATTGAGTTTTGCTGAGAAAGGGCCAAATCATATTAATACTATGTGTAAAAGTCACAAATGGTTCTGCCATAGACCATCTGATGTAAACATTCCAAGCTATTATTTTCAAAAAAAATTCTGGAACTGGGTCAAAATGAAGTCGTTCTTTAAAAAGAAAAACAATCCCGATTTTTCCTTATAACGTATTTTTGCCTAAGAGAATATTGTAACATATACTAATCTACATTTTTTTCTTTCCTTAAGGCTCGTACTTTCAAGCGTTTAAAATCCTTTAATTTCCAGAAATGGTGAACATTGCAAGAGATGAAGCTAGAAAGTGTGATTTTGGGAACATGGAAAACATTTTTTACTTAGTTACCTTTTTTTAAGACTTGGGAAAAACCTCCTGGATGGAATTCTCAGTATTTTGTCCCGTTACAGAATTACTCATTCAGACACAAGGGCGGATCCAGGGGGGGGGGGGGGGGCCAAAGGGGGCCATGGCCCCCCCCCCCAAAAAAAACGAAACCAATTTTTTTTTTTTTATGTGACATTGCAATAAAGGCAGGCAATGAGTACACCACCATCTTTTCCTCAAAAAAAATTGGTTAAAGTGGTCAGAAATTGCCTCAGATCGCACCACAGAGCATCTAGAATCCAAAAAATTTTCGGGGCCCTTAAGCGGGCCCCGAACCCTACGCCGTAATTTTTTGACCCACTTTTTGGGGGGAACAAAAAAAAATTTTTGGCCCCCCCCAAAATTGTGTTCTGGATCCGCCCTTGTTCAGACAAAGGTTTTGTTTCTTTGTATTTTGTATCCGTAGTTAGCTCTTAAATCGTACAAGAAAATTTGTATCAAAGACCAATCCTCTTATGCCGACAAATTTTCATTTTTTAAATTTGCAGGATCGTTACATACAAAGTATTTCCAGTTCTTAAATTTTTCAACGAAATAATCTGCTACATCTAACAGTATTTACAGAGTGGAGTGAGTCTGTGCGATTTTGTTGTCCTGTATATTCGTATCTGTTCCTTTCTATCGTTGCTTTTTTGCAGTTCTATTTTGTCCATAGTCGTTCTTCTCTTCGTCTGTTTTTGCATCTTTTGTACTGTTTTGTTATGTTCTTTTTCTTGTTCGTCTTTTTTGTGCTGTTATATTACTCCTGTTTTACCGTTATTCTAGTCTGTGTGTTTGTCTCTTTGATGTCATAATTGTTTGATTTCATAAGTGTATTCCTGTTATATAGGAGATTGGAAAATACTTGTAGATTGGTTGTCTGGAAATATGACGTCACTAACCTCTTCATTTTCATATTTTTTTTGTCTCGGTGTCTACATGTTCACTGTGGGTAAATAAAATTGTATTCCCAACTGTAGTCTGTAATCAATGTCATTGAAATAGTTTATTTATGATAGTCGTGTAGATTTCCAATAAACCTATTCGTTGAAATGGATATGCCACAAAATGGTTGAGTCTCGTCTGTTGGTGTGTGCGTGTCAACAAGAACGGTGATTGGGTAGAAGTTGTTGAGGGCGGAGCGTAATGTCTGACGTCACCACGTATCAAACGTCACAATACGTCACGCAATGTCAGGCGCGCAAACTGCGTTGCGCCATGGTTGCGCCACAACAACCGTGGTTAAACAATGGACCCCATCAAAAACTAAAGTTTCCTCGCTGACCATCGAGCTATATTAAAATTAATTTATAGCTCTATGTTACTGACATACTAGTCACAACCCTCACTGCGCTACCATTGGTAGCCGTCTCCTGTTGATCTTAGAAGTGGCGTGAGTCGTTTCTTGTCAGGCATTAAGATGGAACAACTTGCAACAATGTAGCTTCAGTTACTGAATGATTCTCGGTCCAAAAATGGGCCAGAAGTACTCCCGGCTGTGCAGCCAGCCAAGCAGCCGCGGCGAGTCGGGGAGTAGGGGGTGGAGGCGACTTCGGGGAGATGGGGCGGGGGTCCGCGAGGGTAGCGACTCCCCAAGTAGGTATGTCGAAACGTCGGGTGTTTTTGCTGTTGGTTCCTGTCGAGACCGTCCTTGTAACTTTCAAATGAGGTGTCATTCCGAATTGGTTTTACCTCTGCAAGCCTTGTACAGTTTTCCTCACAATGTTCAAATGGGCCAACTTCGCTTTCCACTGGCTGTAGCGTCTGTGAATATTAAAGTTCGAGTTAGCTAGTTATAGCAGGGGAGTGACCAATGATAAAAAATTTAAAAAAATACCTGAAAACAGTTGAAAAAGGTGGGTTTTTTTAAATGAACTTTGGAAATCTCCTATATTTTGTACACAGCATATGAGGGGGGGGGGGGGGGAGCTGAAATCCAAAACAAAACAAGAGCTGGAATCAGTTTTAAAGCTGAGATTTCACACCCCTGCTAAATAGTGGAAGTGGCATGCACTGTGGTGTAAAAAGGGGGACGTTTTTATTTTCAGTGCTACTCGCACATGATCGGTTTGTCAAAACCAAAAGTGACATTTAGGCCTTTACAGGCTGTATCAAAGTTTTAAAAATAAGGGGGGGGGGGGTTGTTATGCGAAACATCACTCGGATTATAAATTATACGCAACCATTTTTGTGTCTGGTTCTGTCTGCGTAATTTGTTGTAAATGTAGTTTGTTCAGGGGTTTTATGGATGGTGTTTTGCGAGTCGACTGCATGAATAAGTCATCCCCTGTTCCCTTTATACAATAAAGTTGAACATCAACTTTGATATATATGCATGTATCTCTTTTTACGTAGCGGCGTAGTCTTCCTCCAGCCACCGGAGAGCCCGTCTGGCGTCAGCTCCGTGTCCATGCAGGGTAACTACGACGACAGAGACTACGGGCTTGAGGCACCGACGGAGGAGTCTTGGGACACGGTGCAATTTGACGACGGTGAAGATGGGGGAAGCGGAGGTATACAAATAAAGAGTTTTGTTGACATTTTTGTTCACCAATATCCTTCTGAGGTCAACAGAGCTAACAAACAAACTGAGGATTCTTCTTTGTTATTTTTGTTGTCTCAGGCTGGACCAGACTTCACCATTTAGCTTCAGATCATATTTTAAAAAGAACTATTCAAGTCCTGTTGCTATTGACATTAATTGTTCTTTATCATCTTTTCTGGTCAAGGAGAAAGCCCCACCAACAAGTACTCGTCCATCCAGTCTGAAATGGGCAAAGCCCCCGCCAACAAACGCAAACGACAAAGCAAAATACCGCCACCAACGACCAGCGCTTCCACGAGCGCGCAGAAAGCAACGCCGCCATTGCAGACGAACGAGAGCGCTTTGGCGGGAAACGAAAGGAGCCAATTGCAAAAAGACAGCACATTTCGACCTGGCAGTCTGCCAGCAATCCTCGCCGACGCCAAACCCATGAAGGACGCTGATAGGTTGCTGGAAGTTCTGACCGAACACGAATGTGCCGACGGGTTGCCAGAAGAAGGTCCCGTGAGTAATTTAAAAAAAACCTTGTTTTTTAATGTTCTCCCTCTTTGTTTTCAAGCTCAGTGAATATTTGTTGGCGATGGCGTTAAGCTCTTACAGTCTTAGCACTAGCATTGGTCAAACAAAATGGCCGCCTTTATTGCAAAGGTATGAGGCTGAGCTACAACAAACAATAATGCGTGTGGTTGCAAGATGTATAAATACGTTTCATACTATTGGGCAAATGGCTACATTGTACTAGGCCTACTTAAGTCAGAAATGAGAGAAATCAATGTCTATAATAAGGACACTTTCAACGTTATTTTTCTGTCTCTGTAACTAGGTGGACAAGCTCAATCTTTTGCAGCCAAATATTGCCGACAAAATCGCACCAAGCAGTAGTATATCACTCGCACACAATCAACATCGTTCGTGGAAGTCCGTGCCACTAACGCTATACACTTTAATTTTACAGTATAGCTCTAGGGACGAGTATAGCTCCATGGGACGAGCGAGCTCTAAAATCCGCCAACCCGAAATATATTTATCCTCCTCACCAGGAATCCGGAGATTCCGTCCGCCGTATCATCCAGCACGACATCGGCCGCGAGCGCAGCGTCAACGCCCGCCTCCGTGAGCTCAAGGACATCGAGACCCGTAAGTCCGAGCGGCGGCTGTCGGTCACCGCGGCGGCCACCGCGTCCCAGCTGCACGTCATCCCGGAGATTATCGGTGAAGAGCCCGCCGACCCTGCCGACTTCAAATACTCCGACACCAACCTCTACTTCTAGTTATTGGACATAGAAGACCCTTTTACCTGTTTGCCTATAGATCGTTTGCACTGCAACAATCTCGGAGGTGTGTGCTTTCGTTCAACTCTTATGCATGAGTGTACCTCTTGAGTATTCATTGTTAATTGATTAGACTCACCTCAAAGATGTCTGCTTACTGCAATCGATCTATAGTCAATACAAGATATATACACCTTGATCCTATATGGGACGTGGCTAAATCTGTAAGAAACATTTAGGATCCTTTATCGGGCCATGAATGATCAGTCCTAAATTTCCATTAGAAAGCCTGTAGGAACCTGAAGGTTTTTTTTCGCAATCTCCTGCAGTTTCCTCCTGTAAAATACTTATATTTACCACCATCGACAATACGATACCGTTTGGACGTGGAAAAATGTACAGGAAATGTGCCAAACGTCAGTCTCTTCCTATGCAAAAGTTGGAGGACCACTATTACTATTAGGATCCTACTGGATCATGGTCAAACCGTAAAGAAAACATTTAGTGTTCTAAAGAGAACCTTTTTGTCAGTCCTACACTAATTCAATCAGAAGTTGGAGGACCACTTTGAGGGTCCTATAAGATCATGTCAAAAGCCTATAGGCAACCTTTAGTATCCTATAGGGTGCCTACAAATATAGTTATATCAGCAAAACTTACTAGTCTACTGGATGTCTGAAAATATACTTCATTATGTAAATTCTATCAGCAGTTGGATGACCACTTTCAGGGCCCTATAAGATCATGTCAAAAGCCTATAGGCAACCTTTAGTATCCTATAGGGTGCCTACAAATATAGTTATATCAGCAAAACTTACTAGTCTACTGGATGTCTGAAAATATACTTCATTATGTAAATTCTATCAGCAGTTGCATGACCACTTTAAGGATCTCATAGAATCCTGAAACCCATAGGAAACAGAGGATATATTTGTCCTGCGGATTCCTAAAGGGCCTTTAAAATAATGACTGTTTGAAACCTTCAATATTTTCTCCACTAGCCTTCAAGTGATAAGCTGGGTATTAACAGTTTTGGAGCGATCATGGACTTGAAGCTGTAAGTATGTTTGAGCGTTATGATCATTTGGCTACTAAAAATTTTTCACACAATCACGAATAATCAGAATTATTAGCAATCAATATTAATTTTTTTCCGACCATTTTTAATTTTCGTTTTGATCTAAAAGCTGCTACAATCGACCAATATTCCAAAGCTTATATATATGTTTGCTACGTTTTATATCAACAAATTTTCTGTTGTTGAAGTTTAATCTTCAAAAACTTTTATAAAAGAGAACCGGTTTATTTAATTGATTGTTAAAAAAAATCATCATACACAAATATTGACTACAATTTTGTAACTTTTTTTTCATTTCATTATGAAAATGACAGTCTAAAGATATCTTCCCAAAAATATACTAAAATCACAGGTTTTTTTTCCTTTTTAGTGCGATTAAAAAAAATTATATTTATTTATTTCAGTACTATGAAACATACATTTTGAACTACAAACATGTATATGCAACATTAAAAACGGATGTTGATCATTTTAGACGTTGGGTCTGAAACTGTTAATACAGTAGTTCGTTTAATCGTTGAGCTACAAGAACTTAAAATATATAACATTACAAATTATATACAAAAAAGGTTACTCATTAGTAACCTTAAAACACCCTGTAAAACAAATACCTATGGCTTGGCAACAATTTCAGTTATTACATTTGCAATTTTGGACCAATTGCTTTTTGATGTTGACGTGGGGGAAAATGGCTAATTATCTGACATTTGCCAGTATACGTTATATAAAAAGAAATGGTAAACCATAACTTACAGAAGATGGGTTGGCATGGGCTCCGCGCACAAGTACCCCCTCAATGGGACAAAAGGGAGAGTTAGGGGAGACCACTGGGAGAGATATTCAAACACATTGCTGATGACGCCTGATGCTCACTGCACATTCAGAAATAGTTGTGCTTACTTCGCGCAATACACGTACTTGCTCTACATAACCCCCAAGGACAGACACACAAAGGGAGAACAACAGATCCTTTCCGTCCTCGGGAGTTGGGTCTTTTGTTCAAAATGGTCCTCTGTAGTAAGTTTGTGTGCTCAGTCTATGGGAGAGTGTTATATAACAGGGACAAAGGAAAACACAAAGCATTGTCCCCGGGAGTATAGTCAAACAAGAGTATATGTACGTGCACATGAAGTGTCCAATCCAGGTTTTAGGGTCATTGCGTTTAAATGGTGATAATCTTTGAACGGATGGAGCAATTTCAGTACTTTTTTTCATCTAAAAGTAGCTTTTGAAATTGGCTTTCCAGTCCTTATTATATTTAGTGCTACATTTTTCTTTTAAATATAAAATATATTTTTGGGGGTTTGGGTTCCGCTTTTTTTGACTCGCCCTGTACAACACTACCATGCACTTTTGAAGACTCCTTGGGTTTCATTAACAGAAATATGAAAACCAATGAAATCAAATTTAAACATTTTCTAAAATGTGGTCAAGGAGGACAGTGTTCTAACCATAGCTCACAGATGTAGCGCGACCCCCTCGGAAACCCTGTGGCGAACCCAGAGTCACTTTCTTCAGTCGATGCTGCACACAGATGTAGTCATAGTCCCTCATGTCCAGACTGTGGCCGTAGAATGTGTAGACCGTTAGCGAAAGGGCAAGCACAAGCCTGCTCACTGTCATAACCTGTAAGATCAAAAAAAGAAGAAAGTGATCCAGGGCTGTGCAGGTACCCGAGTACTCTATCGTTGACGTCAGGAACCAGTTCCAGATTATGGGATCGGGTACCCGTGACCAACTTTACAAATTACTTAGCGCCTTCTCAGACAAAAAAAAAGGAAGGTTTCAAATGGTATTTGTGGGAATTTTAAAAATGAAAACCAGGCTACATGGGAAAATAAAACAAATGTCACTTTTATGATGTTCGTAAAAGTTGAAGTTAACACCGTAAAGCTATTCATAAAGTAAACACTTTAAAGTTATTCATTTCAGAACCACACCTACTCACAAAAGAGATTTATTCACATGGTGCTACCGCAAACCTATCTTGTCTTAGTATTCATAAAGCTCACGATAAGGCCCAAAAAAAAAAGTCTCCAGTTTCTGGTATGCGCGCGCGTCGCCGTAGCCATGCGCGTTGGCAAAATGAAAAAGTTTTTTTTTCAATGAAAGATGATGTCTCAAAACCGCCAAACTCACTGGTTTGACTGGAATCCTGCTGCTACACATTTTTAACGTGTTTTTAGATTGGGTTATGGTCGAGAATAAGCTTTATGTGGCCTCTCTGGACTCCCATATATTTGCACTAAGTTTAGTCGGGCACCATTTGCAGTCATCAGCCGACATTTGAAGCAAAAAAATCAGGTAAAAAAAACCCAAAAAGCCGCGTCGCCGCACCACTTTTTGGACAAGCTCCATACCAGAAACCGGAGACTTTTTTTTGTGGCCTAAACACTTGTATCCTGTTGTATTTATGCGCCGTGTTGCACCTGTATTGTTAGTACATGTATTATCATGCGAACCTTAATATGGACAATCTGGACAGCTGTATTTGAATTTGGGGGTTGGGTTTCTTTAACGGGTACCAAGTACCAGGTTCCCGCACCATCCGTAAAGAATAGGGAGGTTAAAGGGGCACTAGGTCCTGAAATCCCCGAACATGTTATGTTTTGGATTGTTTACTTAGCCTATTTCAAACATCTGGTTGAAAGGAAACCAACCTAATGTCTTACCGTTCCCGAGAAAAGACAAAAAAAACCCGCTTGTTTACATCGGACATGACGGAGTACGAATACGTTTTTTGTGTCGTTCTCATGTACGCTATACACGTTGTGTGTCTCGGGAACAACGCGCGGTGACCAATCACCAATGCAAAAAATTGTGGTTTCTTCAACGTCCGCAAAAGGCGAACACTTTACGCGTACAAATGCAATCACAACTAGCATCCAAACAGCTCGAATTTATGGGGTCACAAAAGTGGACCCCGAAATTCGTTCTCGCACGCATAATACAGGAATAACACAAAGGGAATATACTTAAAGGGAATATACAACATTTTCAAACATCGAAAAATAAAACTACCAAATTTTTACAAAATACCTTACTAGGATATTGGTAAATGACAGTCTAAAGCATCCTGTAAAATTATGGCACCTGGTGTGAAGCCATTTTCAATAAAATGGTATTTTTGTATACATTTCCAACAATGGTCGACCGACCACCGTTGGAAAAACCTAACTATTTTTCAACTACTGCTCCAAATTTACAATTTTGTTCAGTCCAAATTTTGTTTGCTATTGGTTACTTGTTTATGAACGGGTGCAGGCCAGCTACAATTTTCCGGCATCTATAAATTGATCCATTTCATCTTTAGTGGAGCCAGGGAACCAGACTACTTGAACATTTTTGTTTTTCTTGATTTTTCAAGCATTTTCGAACACAAAACTTCAAACATGTCAATGAAACAATATTTGATCTATTATACTAACCCCTCAAATAGTTAATTTCTGAAAATTACAGCAAAAGCCTATGATGTACACGTACATTCCCTTTCAAGAGAAGATACAACATTTGCAAACATCGAAAAATGACATGATCAAATTATCGAGAAATACCTTAATGAATTGTAAGGGACCGACAGTCAAAAGCATCCTTTAAAATCGTGGCTGCTGGTGTGCTGACCTTTTCAAGAAAAACTGTATTTTTCCAGCGCTGGTCGGCCGACCAGCGTTGGAGAAAACTGGCTTATTTCAAAAACTGTTCCTAATTTTTCATATTTAGTTATTCTGACTATTCTTGCAATTGATTACACACCTGTGAATTGGTACAAGCCTGCTAGACTGATTCTCTGACCTTACAATTCCCCAAAGTGTATTAATTGCTCCGTTTCATCTTGAGTGTGGTCAGGGAACCAAACTACAAGAATATGGTAAGTTTTCTTGGTTTTTCTAGCATCTACAAGCCCAAAACGTGAAACAAGTCAATTTAACAATATTTTCTACGACACACTAATCCTCCAAATCCATTTATTTCTGAAAATTGCAGCAAAAGCAAATGTTGTACATTCCCTTTAAAATTACATTGTAACGTTTCATCAACAACAGAGCCACTGTGTTTGACACCAACACATGGCTATGTAGTAGTATAAGAGAGCTTTATGATCGAACATCATTTGATTTCAACACACTTGATGAGTGATGCTTGCTAATCACATCCACTCCGTTCCAAGTACCCCCTCACCGGCAAAGGAAGTACAGTTGGGGGTGACCGACCGACGCCATCTTGCCTGACTGCAATTATGCCGCGATACGCGGCCGTACAACTGCGTGTTTTTGCGTCACACACAAGGAACGCTGTGCGTCAAGCAGCTAAGTGTCCCGCCCATGGGACGTGGTTGTTAGGTAAAAGGGCGCCCTCTTTCGTTAGCGCACGGAGCTCATACGTGTAACAACTTCAACTTACAGGCACTGCCCACAGTATGATGAGAAGTCCCGTCAGCACGGGATGCCGGAAATTCCGGAAAAGCCGTTGATATTCCCTGGACTTCATATGAATAGGAGGGTCCAGATCTATCACATAGTAGTACACCTACAATGGAAATGTAAAGTCAGATTCAATATGGCAAATTAGGCCGGCGTTTACGTATCCCCGGTTTCCTTGGCATGAAACGACTGACAATATTTCTATTCCCCCTGGATGGGATGCCAGTCCATCACAGGTTACTCCCCAGCTAATTTCAGTACCATATCAGCACCCATTTTGTACTATGGAGAGAGGCAAGTGGGGGTGAAGTGGCTTGTCCAAGGATGCAATATATGGCCAGCAGCTGGATTCGGACCCTCACCCTCTGATCATGAGTCACAAACTTGTAAACAACTAGGCCACATGATCCCTGAAATAGATTTCGGAAAATCTTATTCAAAATGTGTTGATATATTTATATCTCAATCACAAAATGTTATTCTGTCGTAGCCTTTGTACCAAAAAGGAAACAGTAAAAAGTTAAAAGGAAACAGTAAATAGTTAGTAGGCCTATAGTCAGAGCAGAATAACTTCAAATGACAACGTTTACTTTTACGTTTGCTGTCTTGAGGCACAGATCCATCTTATTTATGCAAATTTCCAAATTATTTTGGACAGTTACTCAGAATCTGATCTACGTACTAATAGACAAACAAGTTACTAGTAGATTTATTCACTGAACTACATGTAAACTCCGCTCAGAACAGCCTGTATACAAATATTGAGTGGCTCAGCGTGGAATGGGAGGAATATTATCGCAAGGTAAAATCTGGACTTTTCCATTTCACGAGGCGAAGCCGAGTGAACTGGAAAAGACCAGATTTTACCGAGCGATAATATTCCTCCCATTTCACAATCTAAAGCCACTCAATATTTGTTTTATATAACTGACATATAGATCCTTGTCATTTGATATATTTGAACTTTTATTTCAATACAAAATTGGTAAAAACTGTATTTCTCTTTTCCAAACCACTCCTTCAAGAAAATGTTTGAACCCAACACTGTAGCACTGGCTCTTTGGAATACGCGCTACGCGCAACGCTGAATGCGCACACCAGCATGCATTTGCACACAAATACTGCGTCATGGAACAAGAATGATCGTAACTGTTCAATTCCCATTCATAGTACTTTTTGAGCCCCGGCGTGAATGGCAGTAATAACAAATGTCACGTGATGTGAGTTCCACCAATCAAATGACAAGGATCTGTATGTCGGTTATATAGAAGACAATATTCATCACTCATATTTTTGTTTCTCATCTTGGCCCAATTTCATGGGCACTAACTATCGCTTAGCAAATTCCCATGCTAAACATGAATCGGCGGTGAACCAGTCAAAAGCAATATATACATGTACATTGCATGAGGTTTTGGCTGGTGACCAGGGCCCAATTTCATAGAACTGCTTACGCACAAAATTTGCTTATGCACGAAAAAACATTGATTAGTAAAATTAGGTTACCGGCCAAAACTCCATGTGATGTACATTGCTTGTGACTGGTATTTAGCCGTTGTTTACTTAGCATAACAATCACATGGAGTTTTGGCCGGTAACATGATTTTATTAGACAAGACGTTTTTGTGCTTAAGCAAATTTTGTGCTTAAGCAGCTCTATGAAATTGGCCCCAGTTTTTGCTTGGCAAATAGTTTTTTATGCTTAGCTTGGTTAACAGTGCCATGAAATTGGCCACTAAACTTTTTGTTCATCCCCCATCATTCCCCCTCCCATTCACCCCCTCCCCTTCACCCCCCCCCCCCCCCCCACACACACACACACACACCCCCACCCCCTCCACCATCTCTTACTTGTTTGATTCCGACCAGTTCGGCGTAGTCCAGCACCATGACAAAGCCAATCACACACAGCCAGCCCAGGAAGCAGCAAACACTGAAGGACACCCAGACCCAACGACTGTCTGTGTCGAAGGACCACAGCACGGACTCCGGAAAGAGCAGTTGCCATTGGGACATTACTAACTACCGACAAGAAAAGACAATTATCAGAAAAAGTATTATGTCACAAAATTATTACCTTAAAGGGAATATACATCATTTGCTTTCGCTGTAATTTTCAGAAATGGATGGAATTGGGGGTTGGAAATATATAGCAAATATAGTTACACTGACTTTTTTGAAGTTTTGGGTTCAAAAATGCTATAAAAACCAAGAAAAACAATCATTTTCCTGTAGTATGGTTCCCTTACTCCATTGAAGAAGAAACAGAGCAGTTTACATACATTGGGGAATTGTAAGGTCAGGGAACCAGTCTAGCTGGCTTGTACCCGTTCATAGTGTGTGTAATCGATTGCAAACAAGTGCGATGGTCAATTGGGGCCAGTATTTGAAAAAAAGCCAGTTGTTTCCAACGCTGATCGGCCAACCAGCGTTGGAAATTGGTACAAATATACCACTTTTCTTGAAAATGACAGTATACCAGGTGCCATGATTTTACAGGATGCTTTACACTGTCATTCACCAACAGTCCAGCAAGGTATTTCAAAATGATTTGGTAGTTTTATTTTTGATGTTTGCAAATGTTGTATTTTCCCCTTTAAAAATCAACAAGGTTTCACTGCAGTCATGTACATCTGACAATTGTGTACAGTGGTACTTTTTGGACTCACCCAAGTAGTTAGAGATGTTTAAAACTAACAGGAATGTCTGGGATTCTGGTATTTTTTAAAGGCAACACTAGGGTAAACTGAATAACCCTAACCGAACTCAAGCCATCAAATTCAACAGCAGGTTCTGTTTAAATCTGTTGGGATAGGTACAGTACCCCTAAACTGATGGTCTTTTACACTGCGGTTGGCATACCTCCAGAAACTAAGTCCAACAGTGTGTGTGTACAATTTCCCATGTGGGTGTTGGAATTTACCAGAATGGGTATGGTTCCTAGTAAATTAGGCTGGGGAGTTAGGGTTAACGCATATATACAACAAAACCCAACACGAAAATGAAAATGACCGCAACACACCGTGAAAGTGCAAAACCGCATTGATTCGAACAGCTCCAACTGAAAAAAAGTAAACGAAAACTGCATTTTCTTCCAAAAGAAACTATTCAAAATCACAAAAATAGGCCCATAAGGAGTATTATTAAGAAGACTGCTTCAGGTTGCAGAAATCATTTTTAGAATGATAAAAACACTTGAAGGACCAAAAAGGAAGAGGGTCATGCAACTATCGCCGTACATTTCACGTTCATCACAAGTCTATAGTCACAAGTAAATCACAAGTCATCTCAAACTTCTCCTCACAATGTACATGTACATATAACAGTGGATGAACACTAAAAAATATGTGCGCGCGTCGCCGAACCAATGCGCGTCGGCAAAATGAAAAGGTTTTTTTTCAATGAAAGATGATGTCTCAAAACCGCCAAACTCACTGGTTTGACTGGAATCCTGCTGCTGCACAATTTTAACGTGTTTTTAGATGGGGTTATGGTCGAGAATAAGTTTTATGTGGCCTCTCTGGACTCCCATATATTTGCACTAAGTTTAGTCGGGCACCATTTGCAGTCATCAGCCGACATTTGAAGCAAAAAAAATCAGGTGAAAAAAAAAAAAAAGCCGCGTCGCCGCACCACTTTTTGGGCAAGCTCCATACCAGAAACCAGAGACTTTTTTTTTGGCCTAATGACATCATGCTTTGTTTCCATGTGCACTTTCTTATGGGAAAGGGGAGTGTGCCTACAATGGTAAGGGTTCGTGACTCATGATCAGAGGGTCAGGGGTTCGAATCCAGCTGCCAGGTCAAATGACGTGTCCTTGGGCAAGCCTTCGCTCGTACCCCCCGCCCTGCAAACAGGGCGCTGGTAAGGACTGATGAGCTTCACAGAATCTTGTGAAGGAAGTACAGATTGACCTTCGCATGCAGCTAGCGCGCGCTACGTATGATGGGCACCGGAAGCTAGTTTGTGTGACGTGTTCTACGTCACAATTCATGCAAATCTATCCAATGAGAGCTCAAATGACGTCAGCCCTTACCAGCGTCCTGTTTGCAGGGCGGGGGGTACGAGCGAAGGGCAAGCCATTTCAACCCCCACTTGCCTCTCTCCACCCAGGAGTATGAATGGGTACCGGCATTAGCTGGGGAGTAACCTGCGATGGACTGGCATCCCATCCAGGGGGAACAGAAATATTCTCAGTCATTTCATGCCACGGAAACCAGAGATAAACATCAGCCTGATTGGCTCATGAAGGACTTAACTTTCCCACGGGAGCTTGGTTGCTCTGATCGCAACCTGGCTCCCAAGCTAAAGCGTGCATGTAAACGAAGTTCAAGATTTAAGGGATGCCTCCACCACTTATCACTTTATACCTGCAGTGTCCCACATGTTGCCATTATATACAGGGATCGCTCCACCACCGCAAGCCCCAGCCATTGGATGAAATCCTTCCATAGCCTGCAAGCCATCAGAGAATGTTGCAGAACGAATGCTGCAACAAGCAGCAGATCTAACAAAAGGTCGCTCACGTATGGATTTGTAGCATCTGTTGAAGAAATACCAGGAGATAATAATTATGTCCAAGTAAAAAATAAAAGTTTTTCATCCGGGCTTTTGAAAAAAAAGGAAGAGGTGGCCCTTTTTTCTCCCTAAGAATTATTAAAGATGGTTGATTTTCTCAACTCTGTTGCAGATACATTCTGTGCAGTACGAAAGTTTGGAGCCGAAAGCCTTTTGGAAAGAATCTTTACGATGACAGCGCGGCGACAACACACAACCTGAAAATAAAGATGGCGAAAACACCGCGCGATGTACTGTGAGCACGCACTGCGCGCTGCACCGCAAGGCACAACCGCACAAACTGTGCAGGAAAATCGTGATATCTGCCCCAAGAAACTGTTCAAAATTGCAAAACGAGTGTCATTAGAACTGAGAAAAGTCTGATTTTTGAGCAATAAAAAACATTTATGACTCTACAAAACAACAACAGGGCCAGGGGCCCCAGTCATGCAACTGGGAAGTCACCAAAAAAAGAGGAAGTTCAAATCTTTCTAAGACTTCGTACAGTGTTTTTCTATTTTCAATGGCACACATGGGAAGAAAAAAAAGAGGAAATCAGCTGATCCGAGGAAAAGTTGCATGCCTGGGGCCCTACACTGTACTACACGCGCGCGATCGCCATAAATGATTACCGTGTTGTGCGTGTCCGAACGTGCGTTGGCCATGGTGTTGTCCAGCATGAAAACCCTCTTTGAACAAAAACACTCCAAACTGAAAGACGGTTAAAAAGCACACACACAACCCAAGGGCAGCTATAATTACAAACACAGTGGCCTTCGGCACAAAGGCAACACCAGCCATGTCTCAAACGGCAATCGTCTGGGACGAAATCAACAAATTCTGGAGAATTTCCGGTGTAGACGACGCTGAAAAAAAAAAACGCTACTCGTCTAACAATTCATAATGTAGGACGCCACCAAGCGTTTGCCTCGAAGATAATGAGGGTATTCAACCGCGGTCTCAGTATTTACTTAGCACACTGGACACGATTCCCAAGATTCATCCAATAAAAATCCCAAGAATTACCAAGGCAATGGAAAACTGTACAAAATGCATTCAAAAGTGGTTGTGGCGTGTGCTTGAACAAAAAAAGTTATAACAAAAAACTGCGTGTGCCAGTACACTAACAAAATTGAAAAAAATAACAAAGCAACGCGAGATTGTTTGCGGTTATAAAATATGCCACAATATTGAAAGTTGTTTTGCGGTTATTGAAAAAAAATCATAAAATCCCAAGATTTTGTGAAATTTTTATAAAAATTCCCAAGTTCTCAAGGTCTTGCCCGAATTCCCAAGATCTTGGAATAAGTCCAGGATAAGAGTGGCCACGCGCACGCTGGTCTGAAGGAGAGCTTGCACTTGCAGCCAGAGTAAAACTACTAGAGACGCGGCTATCTCGTGGGCGTTGCGAGGGGGGGGGGGGGGCGAGGGGAAAGTGGGGGAAGGGGGGCGCTCCCCCCCCCCCCCCCCCGACAAGCAAAAAAAAGAGGCGCAAATCCAAGTTGTTGTTAATTTAATGGATTCTCAACTTTGCATTTTAAATCTGTGTAAGTTAGATTTGCCTAATTCTCTTTATTGATGAATTTCATGTAGGCCTCAGTGTAGACCTATAATTCAATGGAATGGATTTATATATTTCTATATATTTCTCCATAACTGTCCAGTATGCGACGGCTGCATGTACAAAAAACCAACATAACAAGCAACTACGAATTTAACGAAAGGACGGGCCTACTCGTTTCAGCCCCTTAAGATTCATTGTTTTTCATTCGTCTTTTCAAGGATCTGCTGATTTAGGCCTAGTGATGTTAATTGCTTGCAAGGTTTTGGTGATTTTTGCAAGACTTATAATGACATAGACATTAACCATTTTCCACTTCGTTAGTTGGAGTTTATTCCATATTGTGGAAAGCATTTATTATTGCCAAGCATTCATGATTTTGCCAAGGATCCAATATTGCCGGGCGCATGCGTTACAATCGCTGTATGCGTTTTTAATTAACGTCGCGCCCATTTTGTCGATTGTGATGGATATTTTCCACTTCAGTTGAAGGTTCTGTATTTTTTCAAGTCTTTCACAATTAAACCTGTGTTAGTTACAGTACATTGGGAGCTACTCGCGCGCATTCCCAAAACGCCCCTCCCACAGGGAGACAGCCAGAAGTTTGTTGCCTTTCCTGATTGGCCGGCAATGACGTCACCCTGTTCGCTGGGCTGTGCCTAGCTGCTGAGGCGCGCTGGTACCAACCCCGTCCCCAGTGCTTACTTTGTTTCCAACCTTGTTTTTAATAGTAAGCCCTGGATAGGAAACTTTCTTCCTGTATCCTGATTCGATATCGCAATTGGCTGGTAATGGATTTTTATCGTGTACTTGGTGTTGTTATTCACAACGTGAAGTACGTGTTTTCGCGATCATTCGTCCAAGCCTTCTCGAAAATACTCATTTCCTTTCCAATTTGTTCATATTAATATGAAATGTGATACTGCATGTTGTCTCGATAAGATCGTAACAGTTTAATTAAATAAATCGTGTTTTCGTAACTCACGCTGTGAGTGCGCTGCGACGAATTGACTCTGTTTTTACCGAACTGTTAAAACGAACGATAATGCAACGCACATGCAGGCACCAGACTATTCCTCATTTGCATACGTGTTCAAAAATCTTGCACATGCAAATGATCCAATACCAGGGTGAGAGAGCAGGTGGTGATGGGCGCGTACTGCTCGACACCCTGGGATTTGGTGAAATTGCATTCCCAAGTTCCCAAGGTCTTGCCCGAATTCCCAAGATCTTGGAATAAGTCCAGGATAGGAGTGGCCACGCGCACGCTGGTCTGAAGGAAAGCTTGCACTTGCAGCCAGAGTAAAACTACTAGAGACGCGGCTATCTCATGGGCGTTGCGAGGGGGGGCGAGGGGAAAGTGGGGGGGGGGGGGGCGCTCCCCCCCCCCCGACAAGCAAAAAAAGAGGCGCAAATCCAAGTTGTTGTTAATTTAATGGGTTGGGGGGGGGCAAATGTCCCTGCCCACCCTCGAAAAAATTATCAACCGGTAAACTGCTTGAAAATAATTATAGGGATTTGGGGAGAATGTGCTGTGCCCCCGCTATCGCTAGAAAAAAAATCTTGGCGACGCCCATGCTCGTTCTTGGCGCTTGTGGGGAATGGTTTGTCATGAATAATAATACGTGCCTTACAGTGGCACACCCAGGATTTGGGGTTTTTTCCTCAAAAAATGTTGCCCAAACATTTTTGGGGGGCGGACTATTTTGACGTTGGTGGCTCCACGAAAATAGGCCACATACTTATCACCAAGGTAAAATCGTGGGAATAAAAAAAAAATTACCCCCCCCCCAAAAAAAATAAAAAAATTGACAACCTCTTGAGGGGGGGGGGGGGAGGGCTCAAGCCCTCCCCCCCCCCTGGTGCGCCACTGCTGACGTATATTATTCGACTATTGTATGTAACATTATTATTAATCAACGGTCAAACAACCCACTTGCGCCCAGTAGAAAGACGCTCCCCGTAAACTAGAACCTTGTAAATTGACATTTGGATTACAACATTAATGTGGTATGTGGGTTTACCAACGAAATAAGACTAACAAGGCTGAGGATCGAACGACAAGAGTTCTTCTCTGATGATTCTCAACTTTGCATTTTAAATCTGTATAAGTTAGATTTGCCTATTTCTCTTTATTTATGAATTTCATGTAGGCCTATAGGCCTATAATTCAATGGAATGGATTGATATATTTCTATATATTTCTCCATAACTGTCCAGTATGCGACGGCTGCATGTACAAAAAAAACCACATAACAAGCAACTACGAATTTAACGAAAGCACGGGCCTACTCGTTTCAGCCCCTTAAGATTCATTGTTTTTCATTCGTCTTTTCAAGGATCTGCTGATTTAGGCCTAGTGATGTTAATTGCTTGCAAGGTTTTGGTGATTATTGCAAGACTTATAATGACATAGACGTTAACCATTTTCCACTTCGTTGGTTGAGTTTATTCCATATTGAAGAAAGCATTTATTATTGCCAAGCATTCATGATTTTGCCAAGGATCCAATATTGCCGGGCGCATGCGTTACAATCGCTGTATGCGTTTTTAATTATTAATTAAAACGTCGTTTTTAATTATTAATTATTAAACGTCGCGCCCGTTTTGTCGATCGTGATGGATATTCTCCACTTCAGTTGAAGGTTCTGTATTTTTTTCAAGTCTTTCACAATTAAACCGGTATTAGTAACAGTACATTGGGAGCTACTCGCGCGCATTCCAAAAACGCTCCTCCCACAGGGAGACAGCCAGAAGTTTGTTGCCTTTCCTGATTGGCCAGCAATGACGTCACCCTGTTCGGTGGGCTGTGCCTATAGCTGCTGAGGCGCGCTGGTACCAACCTCGTCCCCAGTGCTTACTTTATTTCCAACCTTGTTTCCAATAGTAAGCCCTGGATAAGAAACTTTCTTCCTATATCCTGATTCGATATTGCAATTGCCTAGTAATGGATTTTTGTCGTGTACTAACCTTGTGTCGTGTACTTGGGCGCGTACTGCTCGACACCTTGGGGTCGAGGATGCGCTGGTACGATATTTGTAGATATGTAGCCTACTCCGTGATATACAATAAAGCTAACGGATTCTCGATCATTGCTTCTGCGAGGATCATCGATGGAGTAGCAGCGGCGTTTCGCGCTTGGTTCCAAGTTCATGCTGTTTTGCGTACAGGCTATTCGTGCGTATACGGCTGCTGTAATTACTTGGAGTTGTGTGCGAGTTCCTGATAAATATAGCAAGACCAACCTAACGGATTTTTGCTCGGAATCAGTCACTGCATCTTGGAGAATGGACGGAGGAACAGCTTTGGTTCTGATAGTGTCAGCAATGGCAGGTAGGCTTGAGATTTTATGGTAACTTTTTTTCTTTTAAGTATAATGAAGGAGTTACGGAAGACAAAAAGCTGTCGGGCTAATCAGAGACCGAAGCTATAATTCCGGCAGCGTAATTCTCACTACGCTCAATAGCTTCCAATGACATTTTCAAGCTATAAACATGATTTTAGGAAAACATGCATAACTGTTGATGACATGGATCAATTTCAGTAATTTTTTTTTAGATGAGTGGGAGACCATGCTCGTTTAAAGAAATTCGTGTATCAAATTTGGTTGCTTTTTAAGAAAAGAAATCTTTAATCCAGTTCAGTTCCATTTTGACTGAGGCCTACCCAGTATACCGATGGCTCATCCAACGAAGGACCGTATTTTTCACTCCTATCATCAATTTGAATGAACAAAAACATAGCCATCAATATTTTTAGAAGAAAAAAAGAGTTGACTTGTTCCTCGCGATCAAAGCACAAAATCTGACAGTAAAAATAGTGTTTGTCTGGAATCAAATGGTTAAAATATCGTTTGTATTTGAATGCCTGCATATGGGTGTAATCAGTAATTCTCGCTCATCTCAAGTAATAGCCAATGGCAGTCACTGGACAGATATAAAACTGGGTTCCTCTGGGTAAAGATGACTGATACTGTGATAGCATGGATCAATTTCAATGATTCTTGGGGGGTTTTCAGATGAGTGCATGTTTGCTCGACATACTTCATTGGTATCAAAATGTGATTACTTTTTGAGAAAAAAAGGATTTCAGGTCACTTTGTCAGTGACTCACCCTGTACTGTACCATACTCGCTAGCCAGGGAAATCCTACACTTGTCTTGTGCACGAGTAAAATGACCATGGCTAGTGATGATGCTGTGTACATGGGCGTCGCAAGGATGTTTTTCTGTAAGGGGGGAGAAGCACATGTCCCCCCCCCCCCCCCGAAAATCCCTGTACTTTGCCAGCATATTCCCGATTTATCATTTTTCGAGGGTGGACAGGGACACCCCACCCCATTTTAT